TTTTTGGTGCAATTTCGCAGTTGGTTCAGTATTTTTACATTTTGACACGTGTAAAATCACTGTATGAAAGTTCAAATCAAAAATTCTGATCATTTTCCGTTGATTTAATGTTTTGGCCATTGATGTTTTTGTTGAAAATCCGATGTGAGAGCGCTACTTAGCAAAATTTCTATCAAAAGTGTAAACCGACGAAATTATTGGCACCAAAATGGGTTCAGACTGGCCGGCAATAGTCATATTTGGATTGTACGGAAAAAATTGAGTCGATATAGGCTCAAAAACTGTATTGTAAGTAGTGATTTTGAGGTTTCATGACGTTATTGTAGCAAAAATGTGAAATTTTGGTCGATTTTGGCCATATATTCACCCCTAACAGCTCAGTTTTGCACTTTAGAGCATTATAATATTGACCAAAATTGTAGCACTGGACGCCAGCAGTAAGATCCAGTCATCTGTTGACCAGTATAATTGCGATATAGTACAAATTTTTTGAATATTCTTCAATGTATTGATTTTATTCCCCTACAAACTACATAGCTCTCGGGGGAGTGGATTTGATTAGTAAAAGTATGTCGGAAAATGGCTTAAATTTATTTTTTCGGACCAAATTTTCGGATCAGCGGTTAGGAGCTGCAAATTTTAAAACATTTGGCATTTGGGCTACCCTAGTGTGCACGGTGCAATCGAAGCCAAAAAGATCTGTCTCAATTTTTTCGTATGCCTGAGTCAACCAGGGCACCAGTTCGGACAACATGCAAATCACGTTTCGTGCTAAATCAGTTCCCTACGAAAAGAAAAACACTCACACATACACGGCGAATTGCAACAAACGAGAATAACGACAAAAATGTTTAATAACAAAATTATAATATTTATTATCCCGGGATGAACAGACGGCTAATAAAAACCCAGTGAATCAATGCAATGTAGCGCGCGAGTGAGAACGCAAGCGAACGTTGATTGCACGAAGAGAATATGTCTTTCAATTAGTAGACGCAAACCAGAAATGAAATTCTATGCACAAGTTAGCTACAGAACGCAATAAACGCGTTTCACTTTGTTCGTTAAGCCTATCGATTGATGATTTTTCACATGCAAAGTTCAACTTAATTTGCATCGCCGTCTCCGTCTCCGCATTCGGAGTTTTGCGGTGATGATGCAGGGAATATTTGCGAGTAAAATTTACAACTATATACAGTTGGATACAACTACCAGTGAGTGCAAGCATTTGCGCTGAGTCGGGGGGGTTTGTCATACGGAATCCCCAGCGAGAAAGAGAGCGGGCTCAGCTCTCCGATTAAAATTTTGTTTTATTATAATTTATAGTAAAAAGGCACAAAATGCGATAGCTGCTGTAGGAATCAATGTCGGTCTTGTAATCAGCTGCACTTCTGAGAATGCGAAAAGTGTTTCTGAACATGAAACACTGGCTGAACACGAGATTGTCAGTCTCAGAAACAAACATGTTCAAATCACTATAATCGCCCGAAATCAGTTCACTTATTAAATTTATTTTGAAAAAAAAAACCATACCCAGAAAAAAAACTGCGCAAACAATTTGCATGTATTTGATATTCCTTTTTCGTTCGTTCATCAACAGCTGCCTATAAATGCAATCAGAGCACATAGCCTCTGTAAGATAGCTGTGTCAAATTCGAAACGAAATTTGCGAAGATATTCGGAAAATTTACCAAACGAAAAATTGTTGGCGTGAAAATTGGACCACGACAAAACAAAACAAAAAACAATTTAAAAACTATGGATCAGAATGACATAGGTATTTTGCACGATTTTTTACGCTCGCACTTAACACTTTAATAACACGGATTTTGGTTTCAATATCTGGATTAGAATCTAAAATAAATCTATCTTTGCACTATGAAACGCCTTCCGTTGACATTTTGCATTTTGATTGAAATGTTTTTGTTTTTTTGTAGATTTGAGAGTTTTTTTTAATTTAATCTAACACATCATGACAAGCCGACGAAAACGCTTTGTTATTTATTTATTTTTGGCAACATTAAAACACTTGTAAAATGTCTAGTCTAGTATTTCGCTAATTTTTGAGATTAACATGTTTTTATCTCGACTTAGTTCAGTGTTTAACGTTTGTATTAACTTAATTTGATTTTTCATCGTTTATATTCATTTCAGCCAATCATTCAGTGAGTGAGTCGGATAAGTCTTTGAACATCAGTGACGTCAGTAAGTGTCCCAATACCTTTTAGCCTAATATCTTGACTCGCAACGGTGTTTGCTTGCCATTTGGCAAGCGATACATTTTTATTTCATTTCAAAAATTTGACCGAATGCAAAATGAAAAAATTTCACAGCAATGCGGCGATCGCTGCATACTTAGAATTTACATGTTTCTGTCACCTCATTCGTATCGTTTGGAAAATGAGATGAGAAACGAAAATGATGGCTTTTCTCTTCTTTGCGTCAAATTGAACTGCGCAGTCGAATTTAATGGCTAAAATATAAAAATAAATAGGTACCAAATTGCTGGCCACCAGTGTCAATTACATGACTTCCACTATAAAATCGTAATAATATTCGCGCGCGCGCGCGTGTGTGTGTGTGTCTCAGCACAATGATTGTGTTCACATATTTTTCATTTTGGCAAGCGATAGATGGTTTTTCGTAGAATAATATGTGATGTGGCGCAGAGAATGTCGAGGATCGATTTAACGCTGTCCAGAGCCATTTGGACCCTGATCTATACACATCTTGTATGTGTGATTCTGTGATGTTTTATCAAAATTCAATAACATACGTTGCGATGAACGCTCTCCGTTCGCTCACTCGCTCGCCTTTTGCAAATGAACTGTATATGTTTAAAAAGTCATAAATCAGAATTTTCAGCAAACAAACGCCAATGATTCACACGGTCAGGAGCGTTGAAATGCGAAAAACGATTTACATTCACCATATTCTAAAAAAACAGATTATCAATTTTCCACACGAATGAAAAACGAAAAAATGAAAATTGGAATAAGGACAATGTACGTACACAGATCACGCCTATATCAAATAAAACAAAACACAGCGCGGAAGAAAAATAAAAGAAGAAAAAGTTTGTCAGAACAGGCGTATTTGTTTGCTTAAATTGATGTCTATTACTGCTCAGTTTTTAGCTATGGAAACAATGTCAATGTTTAATTTTGACCAGCCGAGCTTCAACTATTGGAATGTAAACATATATTTTCCCAATGAGATATTGAAAATTAATTACAATGGCAGTGCGATTGAAATGCAAAGCAAAGAGAGTGAAGAAAGCAATAGCCAAACAAAAAAAAACACTGAAACGATTCAATTTCATTAAAATGTGGTTTTTGGCATTTTCAATATTCGCTAAATTTATCCTTTCGTCGATGGACGTATGAACCAATTCAAGAGCATTGAAAGCCGCATCAGCTCATTTTACTGTCGCTGTCTGCTGACTGAACAATAACCGACTTTGCAAAACACGCTTTTGCTCACACAAAATGACCAGCTGTTTGAACTACTCAGTCAATATTTTGGATATGTGAGAGTGCGAACTTTCGTACGTATGCCTATTTATACGTATCCAACGTAAATGAAATTTTGAAGGAAATGCTCTCGCTTCTTTTTGTGTACATTGAAAAATCGCTACGCATTTTTCACTATTCTCGCCTTTCGTTCGCTTTTTCGTTGTCTTTCGTTCACATCACAAATATGTAGATTTATAAATAGAACATTAGGAGTGTGTTCAACGTCTTGTGAGCTTACGTTCGTCAGCAGCAGCAGTAGCAGCCGCAGCATTGTTGTTGCTCAGTCGTTGTTACAATATCGGTACGTAATGTACAGCAAACAGTAATCAGAAGAGGAAAGAAAAGAAGAAGAAGAAAAATTCGCTAAATTATAAAACGTGCCCAGTTTCTAATTAGGCTAATCCACTTGTTAGAACGGATTCATATTGTTATTAATTGATATTGAGATCCGAGAAAAGGGATTTTCAATTTGTGTGTGCTTGAGATTTTTTGTTGTTCAATTTTTCATTTGAAAATCTGGTTTTTTCTTTTGCGCTACAGTTAACGCTATCCGAGATACAGATCCCTGTGCAGGGGGTATATTTAATAGTGGATCACAACAATCACCTAATACTCAGATAAATAACGACAAGACCACCACTGCAATGACATCCAGGAGCAATCATCATGGTGCACGTGCTCCTTCCAACAGCCCCTACCCGAATGCTTTTGTAAAAATTACAGAGCAACCAGCGCCGAAAGCGTTACGGTTCCGATACGAATGTGAGGGTAGATCAGCTGGTTCGATACCAGGTGCAAGCTCAACTCCAGACAATAAAACTTATCCAGGCATTCAGGTGGTGAACTATCGTGGTCGTGCTGTTGTTGTCGTATCTTGTGTCACAAAAGATAAACCATATCGGTGAGTCACATTTGGCTGTTTGGCAACACACAAACAAGATGCTTATTCTTGGGTTTCTTCTCTATTACAGGGCACATCCACATAAACTTGTCGGAAAGGACATTTGCAGTAAAGGCGTGTGCACCCTCGAAATCAACAATGAAACCATGACTGCAACATTCGCCAATTTGGGCATTCAATGTGTTAAGAAAAAGGATATTGAGGAATCGCTGAAAGAACGGGAGAAAATCCGAGTTGATCCATTCAGAAGTAAATTTGATTCAATTCTGTCATATGTTCCCATAGCGCTTTGTAACACTGTTTTTTTCTGATTGCAGAGGGATTTGGCCATGCTTCTCAGCCATCAAGCATTGATTTGAATGCAGTTCGATTGTGCTTTCAAGTTTTCCTGAAAGATCCCGACGGGCATAATTTTAATATTCCGCTTGAGCCAGTCGTTTCGGAACCGATTTATGACAAAAAGGCCATGTCAGATCTTGTGATTTGCAAATTAAGTAAACCAAGCTGCAATGTAGCTGGTGGAGACGAGATAATTTTATTGTGCGAGAAGGTAAAAACAAGAAACAACATGATGATGATGCATCATCACCAGCTCGTTGCGCTTTTTGACGCAATTCAGAATTTTATTACTCATTTGTGTTTGCGGTTTACAGGTAGCAAAAGAAGATATTCAAGTGCGGTTCTTCGAAGAAAACCAAGGTGTAATCGTATGGGAAGGCTATGGTGATTTTCAACACACAAACGTTCATAAACAAGTGGCAATATCGTTTCGAACTCCAAAATATAAAACACTTGATATCGAGCAACCCGTCAAGGTGAGTGTCGTTTTTTAATAGAACTAATCAGATACAAAATCTCTCTGATTCACCGGAATTGAACAAGAACAAAATTTTGAATTTCAGTGCTTCATACAGTTGCGTCGACCATCCGATAATGCGACAAGTGATGCTTTACCATTCGAATATCTTCCTTTGGATTCAGGTAGGCGTTCATTGATAGAGTTACGCAAGGGATTAAAGGTGAAGGGTAATTTTGAGGCATTAAGCCGATATTTTACATCCGATGGCTACATCGATCCAACAAAGATCGCAAATGGAATCAGCGTCGATGCAGATGTAGATGATGGTTGCGTTCAACGGAAGAAACCTTGTGTCGAAAACTATTTGAAAGAAGCTATAATCGTTGATGATATAAATATGGTTGATAGTACGGAGAAAACATCGGAATGGCTTGAAAAAACGGAATTCAGTATTTTGAATGATGAACTCGCTACAGCAGCTGACACCCCACTTACGAACAATACGTTCGATTATGATACCGTCACCGCAAGTCCGGTGGTGTCACGCATCGAAGATTGCCGAAACATGTTGGCGCAGAGTGAGAATTCTGGCGAAGAAGACGAAGATAAAACTCTTAACGAATTGCTCGAACAAGTGGCCGAGTTGGATGAAATCTACTCCGGGTATCAAATGAAACGGAACGTAAAATTAGAAGAAACTAAGCAAGGATATGGAAATGATATGAGCTTTGATTTTGACGATACAGCCACGTATACTAGTTTACAAAGAGCTTTCAAGAATCCGATTCCGATAAGTGACCCTGACCCACAGCCACGGTCTTACAATGTCGATTATGACACAGTTGAGCCAATTATAAATCCATTGGCTCCGGTGATAGATATAAGTCCAGTTCGGCGTATTGAGAATGTAGTTGAGGAGGAAAAACTTCCACCGTTGCCACCGAAGCGACTTCGGAAAATTACCGCAGAGAATACAGAGTACAATGCTAATTTGTTACCACCATCACCCAGCATAAAAGAGCCCAATAACGATTCCGACGAACCTCAAATCATCATCAAACGCTCTCCAGACTCTCGTTCACCAGCATCCAGTACAAACAACTCAGCACAGTCGTCACCGCAGAAGAAGCAAGGCTTTTTCTCTCGCATCTTTCGACGAAAGAGTAAATGCGATATTGGTTCGAATTGTAACACGGACACAAAGAATTCGCCGAATTTGTCGCGCGAATCGAGTTTCAATAATTTTGAAGGATTCGACCGAAACCGTTTGTCCACTCGGTCTTTCCGAACGCCACAGTCACCGTCAAAGAAAAGCAAACCCGTTGGCAGAAGTGTGAGTTCAGTTTCTGGCAAACGACCACACCTGACTGCCGATGTGGTGCACATACCTTTGAAAGGTCTCAGCTCAGACTCGTTGCCGATGCGCAGCGGCAGCGGTAACATCATAATGCCCGAACATTATTCTAGCAATTTCACTTTAAGCAATAATTTGGATCGAAAGACCGTAAGTGCACTGCAGTTGGCCGACATCCCCATCCAAGATGGTAACATGGAATTAGTGGCTATCGCAGATGCACAAAGCTTACGCAATCTGTGTGAAGGCCAGTATGGCGTTAAATTAGATGCTGATGTTGACTTGTCAGAAGCCGAACATTTTGCCCTGTACACATCGGTAGCTCCAACGGCGACTCAAAGTGAATTTGACGATATGTCCGCATTTTATGCACCGGTTGAGGCGGCCGAAGTTGTGCCCAACACCGAAATCGCTAAGCGGCTGGCAATGAACTACCAAACAAAGGATTAATGACTACATTTCGAGCAACTAAACCATATTCAATCCTAATTTCAGTCTTTATTTATTTAATTTCACAGTACAAGTCGTTACATCCAAATTTGGACCCATAACATTATAATTTATTATTTATTTTTTCCCTATTTATTTACAGAATTTATTTTGTAAACACTTTTTTCGTTTGATTTATCAATTGCTTGTTTTTTATTTTTTTTTTTCGTTTTGTTTTAGACAAAGTTCAGTTGAAACGTAAGCGTTTAAGAACTGGAAATGATGTAAATTTATTTGACATTTCACCGCATGACGGTCGTAAGTTTTCGTTAATTTTTCGCTATTTATTTTCTATCATTTTATCTTCATTGGTGATGGGTAGTGGGTATAATTCGCTGAGAGTCTTTTTTCTCGAAATTGTTAATATTTAATTTGTTATTCAATTGTTTCATCGTTTGTTTTACCATTCATTGAAATTCTTGTTGAGTTCCAAATGCTTCTCCAGATTGGTTGATGCTCACAAAAGTGCTCTTCAAGTTCACTCTGTACCAAAAGATATCACTGAAATGTTTTCTGTTCTCTTTGATCGAATCATCATCATTCATCGAGTGATGTGTAACCCGCCATTTGCCTTTGCTGTAGGTTTATAAGTTAAATTTCTAGTCCAGTTATACTCATATTTATTTTTAAACGTTGGAAACAATGCATCCGTGGTGAAGGTGCTCACAATTTTACATTCATACGGCATCTGTTTCACGTTTTGAGTTTTCTAGTCAAAAATTATTGTGTAATATTTCCAAATGATTACATGCATCATGAAGAAATGCATTTACCAAGTATCAAAAGAAAGAGAGAGAGAGAAAAAATCAACAATGTTAAAAATGCAATCAATATTTTGTTTTATCTAATTGGAATTTATTAGTTTTATGTATGGTAAATGGTGACAGGAGGAATTTTTGTTTCGATTATAACTCATATGTTAGATATGGCAAAAAAAGAATGTTGAAATTTTTGTTGAAATTTCTATTGCGAATTTAAAAGTGTAGACGATAATATAATCAAAATGGACTTCGGTTGGAAAGGACTAAAAGGAAATTAAATACGTAGAAAAAAAGAACATTTTATTGATCTTTGTTAATGTTTGTCAAGTTATTAACGATTATACACTTATGGAAAATGTTAAACAACACGAAATGCTTAACCAAAAAAAACAACAACAAATTATTATGTAAACTGTCCTTTTAACCCCCCCAAAAAAATCTGAACATTTCGAATAAATGCAAAGAGATTGAGAATCGATTGTCGCTGTGAATTTTCATTCTGCTCAAGTTTCTTTCTTCTTTGTAGCAAAAAGGAAATTTTCAATTCTTAAAATGTTTAGCCTTAAGCGAAACGATGACCAGCGTGTAACTAAACGCTGCAAACGGGTGAGCATTTATTGGTGAGCTTCAATAAATGTGTGTGATTTGATTCTAACACCCTATTAATTTCGTGTTTATTTTTTATATCGTTTAATTTTGTACTAGTTCACTCATGTTCTGCCTGAAAAAAAAACTCATCATCATTCGCCCACAATCATTTTGAACATTTTTTTTCAAGTCATTTTTGCTTATTTAATTCGCTTGGGTTTTTGGAATAGATATGTTTTTGTTTGTTTTTTTATGTTTTGAACATTGTACTTGGAAATCATTTGATTAATCTTCATTTTTTGTCTTCTCATTTTTTTTCTCCCTTCAAAGGATGGCTGCAACAGCAGAACAACGTAAATTATCTACTTTTGCCGGATACGGCCGTCAAACAGGAACCCATATCTCCGAACTACGCAAGTACAAGCCCGACACCACCACCACCTCAACGATACACGCCGTCACCGAACCCATTACATCCTGCATCAGTTTCACCGAACATTCCAATTCAGGGCATTCCACAACAGTCACATTTCGATATGATGGGCGGCTACATTCCGTCCGTATCACCGTTACAAAACACAAACATTCTCAATCAACAGCAATATCAAACGCAACCGAATCAAAATCAGTTCAACATCCCAAACACAAGTTTGGTCAATGCAGCCGTTAATTTTCTCAACAACAACCCAAATCAGACCAATCAAACCGATCAAAGGAACCTTGGAAACATTTTGGCGAATAATAACCTAGACAATATAAATCAATTGGACAACAATGAAAATGTGCTGGACAATGTCAGCGGCATGAATATCAGCAGTTTATTGGATTTGGATAGCCAACAACAAATCAACACCAACGAGTTGGGATTATCGAACGATCTGCTCAATGATTTGCTCAAAAATATCGGCAACAGCGATACTGGCACAAATCAAGGCATCACACAAATGACCATCAATACAATACAGACCAATACATTTGAAGCGGACGAAGAGAACATGACCGATAGTTTTAAGCAAATCTCAATCGAATGATTTCATTTTTATTTTGTTTTGTTGTTGTTTAGCCATTTAAAAGAAAAAAAAAGAGAACACATTTTAAGTTACCAATAAAAATTCTATTGCACACCATTTTGATAAGAAAATCCATTTTTTTCCTTGAAGAAATTTGTCGTTTTATTTTTTTATCTTCTTCTTCTTCTTCAATCCATAAATTCCTTTACTTATCGTTAAGCAAACAATTTGTATACAGCGCCAAAAACTTGCATTTCAAAAGTGACGTTGAAAACTTTCATGGCGCTAATCCAGGGGGCGCTGCGGTAAATGAAAAGTATTTTTGTTCACAAGCAAACACACACAATACATTCTATTGACTTTTACGAGTCACAGTCACTATAAGTTTTTGTGTGCAAGCGAAAAAGTGTGTCTGCTAAAGCTGAAAATTTTCCAGTATTACAAAGTATTTTGCTTTTTGCCAACGTAAACGTTGAATTTTGATCGACAATCAGCGATGTCTGACCAGAACAACGAAGAACCAAACAAAAATCCGGTCGATTTAAATGAAACAAATGAAGACGGCGAAATATTAACATTGTCCGATCTGCTCAATGAACAACGCGAAATAGACGAGGTAAGTAGTGAGCACGGCTCATTTTAATACTTTAATCAATCAAAATTAGTTGAAATGGAAATGAAATTCACGGTAGATATTGTGTGTTTGATGTATTTTATCAGGATGTCGTTGCTGTGTTGGGTGGATCGGATGAAAATCATTGCACGTACTCTCAAGTATGTATTCAAACTGCGTATTTAAATCACGATCAATGTTCCGACCATATCAAATATTTTTCCGTTTGGCTTTTAGGGATATATTAAAAGACAGGCGCTTTATGCATGTTTAACATGCGTCCCAGAATCAAAAGACAAGCCAGAAAAGCGAGCTGGCGTATGCTTAGCATGCAGTTACAAATGTCACGATGGTCACGACTTGGTCGAGCTGTACACAAAGCGAAATTTTCGGTGCGATTGTGGTACATCCAAAATATTGGCGATCCGCTGCAAATTGGAAGCCAACAAAATGGAGGACAACGACAAAAATACATACAATCAAAACTTTTCGGGCGTTTATTGTACGTGCCATCGACCATATCCGGACGAAAATGATGATGTCCAAGACGAAATGATTCAGTGTGTTTTTTGTGAAGACTGGTAAGTGTTAACTCATCCATATGAGTCGTACTATCGCATACGATGGCGAATTGAGAATACTCTACTAAAATTATTTCATTTCAATTTGCAGGTTCCATTCAAGACATTTGGATGCAAAAGTACCAGATGCCAATGCATTTGATGAGATGATTTGTGATTCCTGTACGTTAAAAAATGATTTTCTAAACTTCTATAGCGGCTATTGCATCACACCGTCGGACGATGCTGCGGCCGACACAACGATCAATACCAGTGATGATCTGAATGTGACCGACAGTGAAGTGGCTAGCACGGCACCGGAAAAGGGATTGGCCGAAACTTTGGAGAAGAAAGACGCAAACCTGAATGCTGAAATCGATCAGTGCTACAAAGGTATCATCGAAATCAATAAAAATAACGTTCAATCCGATAATTCCACAAACAAACGGTCTTCGGCGGATACAAACGATGACATTCCACCGGGTAAGAAGGCCAAGTTAGATGATGAGGCGACCGCCTCATCGAGCAGCAGTGATGTTTGTCGGAAGCCAACTTTTGCACTATTCAAATTCACTGGCGCTTCGTTTTGGCAATTGGAATGGCGATCCAAACTGTGCAAATGCTCAAAATGTCTGGACATGTACAAGCAAAACGACGTTGAATTTTTGCTCGACGACGAGGACACCGTGCACGCATATCAAGAGAAAGGAAAGGCGAAAGCAGAAAACCGTACTACCTCCATCCATGACGAAACGATGCGCGCACTCTCCGGTATGGATCGTGTTCAACAAATCGAAGCGGTTATGGCATACAATAAATTGAAGAAGAAGTTGACCGAGTTCTTGACCTCGTTTGTAAGTAGTGAACAGGTGGTCACCGCTAAGGATGTTGACACATTCTTCCAAACCATGGGCAAGAAAGAATGAAGTGGATGAAGTGTGATTGAACGGTTAATCGATTTGGCGCACATTGCGCGTATAATACAATGCCAGCAACAAGTATTTTTTTAAATTCAGATAAGATAATTGATTTCGAAGGGATTTTTCAAAAATAATAAATAAATGATTGATCTAAAACAACAAATTAAGTCCTAAACAAAATGTGGCAGATATATAAGCATTGTTTTTCTATGTACTCAAAAAAAATATTATGGAAAAAAACTGAATTCCTTTTTGTTAAACAAATAATAAATATTCAAACAGCATAAATTTAATCTCATAACAATAATATATTGGTTTTTATTGTACGTGCTTCCTCTACACAAGGATGGGGAAATTGTATAATATGTATAAGTTGCAATGTATGATTTTCGTTTTGTGATTTCTCCTGTTTCATTTTATTGTGTGTGGGATATTGAACTCTTGGTTTCAATTGATTGATTTTTTTTGTTTTTGTTCGTTTGAATTGAGACATTGGTTGCCAATCTCTTTTTACAATTTACAAACGGCGGTTGCCTCCTCTTTTTCTTCCAAAAGTTCGGCAGCGGTGACGTCGAATTTGCTGCGAGCAAAATCATCGACAGACAATCCTTGGACGATTTTCCATTGATGGTTTTCGATTGTCACTGGGAATGAGAAAACAATGTCCTTAGCGATGCCATAGCTTCCATCGGATACGACTCCCATCGATACCCATTTTCCTTTTTCGGTACCGTTCCACCTGGAATGGTAACAACGTTAGGTTAGCGTATAAATTACAGTATTTTATGATAAGTAGCCAATTGAACTCCTTTTCAACACATACCAATCGTGCATATGGTCAGTGGCGGCCTTAGCTGCCGACATAGCTGATGACATTTTTCGTGCGGCGATGACAGCTGCTCCTCTCTTTTGGATGATTGTTACGAAATCGGTCTGGAAATCGGATTATTGTTAGTTTTCATTTAAATTTCTAGTGTTTTCTGTCAAGTACAGACGGAGTGAATAATACCTGCAAGTAGTTGTTGTCACCAATGGCATCGTATACGGATTTTTCCGCATTGCCAACTTTGACTGTGGCGTGTTTCACGTCTGGGAATTGAGTAGCCGAATGGTTGCCCCAAATGATGACATTCTTAACGTTTTCAACTGGAACCCCGACTTTGGCTGCAACATGAGCTTGAGCACGGTTTTGATCCAATCGGGTCATTGCTGTGAAGTTTTCACGTGGGATCGATGGTGCATAGTGCGAGCAAATGAAAGCGTTTGTATTGGCTGGGTTTCCGACAACCAAAACTTTAACGTCTTTCTTGGCATATTTATCAAGGGCTTCACCTTGCACCTTGAAGATCTTTACATTGGCTGAAAGCAAATCTTTACGTTCCATACCCTCTTTGCGTGGCATAGCACCGACCAAGAATGCGGCCGAAACATCTTTGAATGCAACATTTGGATCAGCTGTTGGGATGACCTGACGCAACAAGGGTAAGGCACAGTCGGCTAATTCCATGACAACACCCTCCAAGACACCCATCATTGGTGGAATGTCCAACAAATGCAAGATCAATGGTTGGTCACGTCCAAACACATCACCCTTAGCAATCATGTATAAAATCGAGTAGGCAATCTGACCGGCAGCGCCAGTAACAACAACACGGATTGGTTCAGCCTGAAAATTGATAAAACAAACAACGCGGTCATTTGAGTGTCATTCACTAATATCTCTAATTTGTCAAAAAATTTCAGTATATAAGAGAGTCCTGTCGTCGACCAAGTCAAGAAAAAAAAACGTCTGAAAATAAACACTTCAAAATGAAATGAGCACGGCGAGTAGTGTGCATGTGTGTATGTGTGTGTTTGCGTGCAGGAAAATGCCGCTAATCACAATCCCGTCGGAGACCCCAACAGAAATAGTATTTTTAGTTCTGGCAACAACAACAGTACGTCATCGTCAACAGATAACCGAAAATGTGTAGTAGTTATGCTTTTATTATATTTCAATATTTTCTTTTCATTCCCCACGTTTGCATGGCTTATCGCTATTGGAAGGTGTCTTCATTACGTAACTGATATGGAAATTGATAAGTTTGGCAGAAATGGTGCTAAATTTTTTTTCACTCCAATTACGAAAATCGCAATTTGGACCGCATTTTTGACATTTTGTACTTTCTAAAGGTCATTTGAACTAGCCGCAATTCGCCATTACATTGGTTTATCACAATTCCAATAAGAATTTAACATGAAATTTCCTGCATCCAATTGAAACGCAATACTATTTTATTACGATAAACTGGGCATGAATTCATTATGAAAATATTAAATCTACGTTGCATATAAAATATCTAACCTAATGACTGATTGGTCTTATTGAAATAATTAAAAAGAATAAATTCAATGGAATGTAATTTGCTCACCATTTTAAATGTGTTTTAGAAGATTGTTTCGGATTTTTTCCACGACACTTGATGCTTGTACGACAATCGCCAAAGAACTGAGCGTATAGAATATGACACAACTGGATTTGAATTAACGTCGGAATAAACGTATCTGGAGTAATGTTTGTTGGCATACATTTGTGTGTGCCGTGTATACGTGCATGGTGTGCGACGCTGTTCAGTGCGATTTACCCACACAATGTGGCACGGTGGAGTTGTATGCGGGACTTTGCAATATTAAACACATTATCGTACGATTCGCCAAATCTGATGCGAACTGAATGATAAAAACTTTGTGAGTGGCAACCAAAACAACGAAACTGTGTGAATTTTGCGAATGGAAATGCGCGTTACTGTTTGAAAACAATACATACTGAGAGATTTCGCACTGAATGCGAGAGAGCAAGCGGCAAATAAAGCCAAATGGTAAACGAAACTAATACAAAATTATGTTGCGTCGTAAGTTGCTTGGCAAACATTACCGTTTGTTTCATAACAATGCGATTTGCAACGAATGAAAAAAAATTCTCCCTATAAAAAGGTTAGAAAGTGGCATTAAAAGCCCTATAAATAATATCGTCAGCAGTATTTTTCTTTTTTTTTTCTTTCCAAAAGAAAATATTCATCATAAATAAATAAATAATAATGTTTAAATTATTGTAAACTTGCGCATTGTGAAAATACGTATCAAATGTCTCGCAACCTGAGAGACAATTAAGTAATCATGTAGACATAACTATTGCGAAAGGCAAATAATTTTCATAAAGTAGTGACCATTGCATTTCATAGAGAATGTGCCGATTGATTTCAATAATTGAAACACGATGTGTCACTGCATAAAATTTGAATAAAAATTTGGTGAACGTGTTTCAAACCAAAATAATCGCAGTATATTTTGTTTGTTTCGAACAGTTTGTGTGCTACGTTGACAGGCTGTTATACTGGTACTGATCGAATCACACACGCGATCACAATACGCACACATACATACACACGGAGAGAGAGAGAGAGAGAGAGAGAGAGAGAGAGACGTCGTGTTTGACACATGAAAAATCAGCCAGTGACGTGTGTGTAGATGTGAATCGGAAGCTGACAGTGTGTTGATGTTTTTTGTAAGCAGTACAGCAGCAGAGCACAGCACAGCACAGTACAGCAAATACAAATAAACTGTGTTGGTTCGCAGAAGGGAAAAAACAGTTCAGTGTAAAGGAAAATTTTGTTACGAGCGAGAGAACGAGAGGAGTGTGAAAAAGTCATTGTGTAAAATTGAATCGTAATTTTCATTTTTTCAATCTGCGATAAATCGTGAATAGTTTGGAAAAAAGCAAGTGTAAAGGATATGAAAATCGTGTAGTAAGTGAATTTTGTGACCATATGCGAAAATAAGCCACGAAAAACGTAGTTAAAATCTGCACAGAAAAGAAACTACTTTAGTCATGGTCGCCATATTTTATTTTTTCGTCTTTCTTTTGTCACTTCGTCGTCGTCTTTCGTTTTTACAGTTTTGCCACAAAGAACATTTTTTCTGCGTTTCAATTTTTTTTTTTTTTCTGCAAATGGTACAACGGAAGAGAATAATCAGTTTTTTTTTATAAATTTCGGACCGAAAAAAATAAATAAATTCAAGTGAAACGTTTGCCATTGCTGAGAAAGTGTTTCGCAATCACCTTGAATTTCGAAATTTCCCATTCATTTGATGCATGCGTATGTGTATTTGGCGAACGACGTCGATATGATTAAATTATGTTGCAGCCAAATCATATTTTTCATGAAATTTTCCATATTTTTCCGCAATTCTTCGTATATATTGATTTCGAGAATTCGTTCTATGTGAATGCGAAGTGATTAAGCACTTTTTTATTTTCTATTTTGACACATTTATGCAAATTAGTCATTCACTAATGTGTTCTTTTCTTTACCTTTGTCTCGTCCATTTACAGTGCGTAGCTGAAAGCAGTCGATGTCATAACCTATGACAAACTGCTACCCCAAAATTTATCTTTAGGTTTTTCTTTTTTTTCTATTCTACATCTGTAAGTGTAAGAAATTAAGGTACGTTGGTTTTGTTGGTTCAGTTTAAACTTTTTCGCTCTGCACTCATTGTTGTGTGCCGTCGTCGTCATGCATTTATGTCTAAAGTTTTATTTTCCACATTTTTGTCCGGATAGATGGGTGACGTTGATCCAGAAACATTGCTGGAATGGCTTTCTATGAGTCAAGGCGATGAGCGTGACATGCAATTGATTGCTTTAGAGCAACTTTGCATGCTATTGCTAATGTCTGACAATGTTGATCGGTAAGCAAAACAGAAAAACCAATAAATTTTCACAGTGTTTCTTTCCTGCCATGCTAGCTGCTCGATAGCCAATTAACGATTTCTTTGTTCGTGTGTCTCCAAATATAATTAAACAGTTGCTTTGAGAATTGTCCACCGCGCACATTCGTTCCAGCCTTGTGTAAAATATTCCTTGATGAATTAGCACCCGAAAATGTGCTCGAAGTGACGGCCAGAGCAATCACCTACTATTTGGATGTGTCAGCTGAATGTACGCGTCGTATCGTGGCAATCGACGGAGCGATTCGTGCGATTTGCAATCGATTGATTGTGGCCGATTTGACTAGCCGAACAAGTCGTGATTTAGCTGAACAATGCATCAAAGTTTTAGAATTAGTGTGCACCCGAGAAGCGGGCGCTGTTTTTGAAGGTGGCGGCCTCAATTCCGTGCTATCATTCATTCGAGACTGCGGCTCACAGGTTCACAAAGATACACTTCATTCGGCTATGTCCGTCGTTTCACGCTTGTGTACAAAGGTCGAACCGCAGAGTGCAACGATCAATGAGTATGTAGAAAGTTTGAGCAAATTGCTACAGCACGAAGATCCAATGGTGGCTGACGGCGCACTGAAATGCTTTGCATCGGTTGCAGATAGATTTATACGAAAAGGGGTTGACCCACAGCCATTGGCTGAACATGGTAAGATTTCATCGGTTTTATCTTACGAAACTTCTTTCACTCACATTTCTCGTGTATTTCAAATGGTGTTTTGCAGGATTAGTTAAAGAATTACTCAAACGGTTAAGTAACGCGGCTGGTCAAACAGCTCCGTCAACATCGGCAGGTAGTACACAGGAATCAGCTGCCGCCTCGTTGACACCAAAATCACAAACAGTTCCTGAAAATGGCCGATCGGTTCAATCGATTTCAACAACGATTTCGCTGCTATCAACACTTTGCCGTGGCTCACCGAGCATTACACATGTATGTTTCAATAACGGCATTGCCTATTTTTCTCAGTACAATGAAAATATTTACGATTTTTACTTAATTCATTCTCACAGGATTTGCTACGTTCAAATTTGCGTGAAGCAATGGAACGCGCGCTGAAAGGCGATGAACGATGCATTCTGGATTGCATGCGCTTAGCTGATCTATTGCTTATGCTTTTATTCGAGGGAAGAGAAGCATTAAGCCGTGTCGGTTATTCATCACAAAGTCAATACACAACACGTGTACGACGTACAGATTCGACTCACGAACGGACGCATCGTCAACTGATCGATTGCATTCGAAGCAAAGATAGCGAGGCATTAATTGAAGCCATTGAAATGGGTGGCATTGATGTAAATTGCATGGATGATGTTGGTCAAACGCTACTGAATTGGGCATCCGCATTCGGTACATTCGAAATGGTGGAATATCTGTGCGAAAAGGGGGCCGATGTGAACAAAGGTCAACGCAGTTCATCGTTACATTACGCTGCATGTTTTGGTCGACCGAGCATTGCAAAGATACTGCTCAAACATGGAGCCAATCCGGATTTGCGTGATGAAGATGGAAAAACACCGTTAGACAAAGCACGCGAACGCGTCGATGAGGGTCATCGTGAGGTGGCTTCAATTTTGCAATCGCCAGGCGAATGGATGTCTGCCGGACGATCTGATCAAAAGTACAATGCATACGATGGCACCAGTGAACCACGTGGCGATTCCGAAATGGCGCCCGTTTATCTAAAGTTTTTCTTGCCATTGTTCTGCAAGACATTTCAAGGCACCATGCTAGGCAGCATTCGAAAATCGAGTTTAGGTAACATCTCTCATCTTTCATAGGAACTTAGTGGATCGTATTAATTATTTGTGTATTCCCTAAAATAGGATTAATTAAAAAGATGATACAATACGCGCAGCCCGATCTTTTAACGCAGCTATGCTCTGCCCAACGGGAGAATCTCGGCATTCTACTTGTAGAGGTTGTTGCTAATGTTCTTGATGTTGAAGTAAGTTTGAACTGAAATACGATATTAGTTAGAAAATGAAATTCTCCAAAAATAAAAATTATCAGACTCAATATTTTCGGTTTTAATCTCGATCTATAATTAATTGTTTTACAAATTAAAAGAATTATTGCTAAAAACAACTCGTATAAATCAAACAAAAATAAAAAAATTAGATCAGCGACAGTTGGCCTGAACAGCCGATAAACAATTTTTCCGGAACGTCCAAGATAAAGCCTTTGGTGAAACAACAACGTGCATTGAACGCACAACTTATTTTACCACCAAACAAAGTTTCGGTAAAAGAAAAAAGCAAATTATAATTTTCAGACCACAGATCAAAAGTTCATTGTGTTTTTACCTCTTTTCGAAAAATGTTTTTAATTCAAAAAACGAAATTAAAAAAAAAAACGAACCGAAAGTACCGGTCGTGTTTGTAATACATTTTTCATGCCCATTTTTTGTTCGTCTAACACAGTGAATTTCCTCTAATCGAATATTTTGCCTGCGCTTTTGATATGATAACTAAATTGTTTATTTTTGTTGATTTATGACTCTCATTGAAAATACACATATTTGCCAATTGAACCGAATGACGGCAATACATGTATGCATATATATGCAATTCGTTACATTCATTTTTTCGATCGATTTCTCGCATAGTCACGGTGCCTACAGTGCCCGACTATATACCGGTTATAAATTAAATGGCAAATATTTGAGTTTTGAATGTGTTGCTTTATCTTTTTGTTTTGTTAAACAACTTTCCCGTTGGTTGCATTTTGTTTAATCAATAATAAAATAATGGAGTTACTGCACACTGTAATCGCATCATACATTGCGTTATCACATGAATTACATATTGATAAGTGGCAATCGAAAACATTTATTTTTAAAATTGTTTATTTACAAAAAAAACAAACAAACAGGATGACGAAGACGGACATTTTGTTGTGCTTAACATACTCGAGGAGATTATGCTGAAAACCGGCAATGAGTTTTTGGATAATTTTGCACGGCTTGGAGTTTTCTCGAAAGTTCAAGCGTTGATGGATGATGAGTCCGAGAGCGAAAGTTCGGTCATAAAATCGCCAACCGATTCCGATTTGCCAGCACAATCATCATCACAGCCGTCCACATCAGGCGCCACAGACGAACCGAGTACAAAATGTAAGAAAAAATCGGATACAGTCCTACATTTATGTTGAATTAATTCAGAACAGAAGTTAAATTTGGCCCTAATTCGATTTCGTGTTGGCATTAAAGTAAAAATTCCATGCATATTTATCTGTGTTTTTTGTCAAGGCGACGATCATGCTGAAGATGCTAAGGAAATTCTACAGGGCAAGGCCTATCACTGGCACGAATGGAACATATGCCGAGGTCGAGATTGCTTGTACGTATGGTCGGATTCGGCAGCTTTAGAACTATCAAACGGTTCAAACGGATGGTTCCGTTTCATTCTTGATGGCAAATTGGCAACGATGTACTCAAGTGGCAGCCCAGAAAATGGAAACGACAATTCAGGTATGTCAAGCTCTAGATTTTTGCTTTGGTTTTGGATTGACCGGTATAACTTCGGTCCAGATAATCATGCCTTGGGCTCAATTTAATTTTTCGTCTATTTTAATTTTGCCATATGCATTTTATTTTGAATTAATTTACTCAATTTTTCTTTTTAAAAAATGGTTACGGCGGGAAAATGTGTAAACAATTCACGTTAGATTGTCCATTTTTGTTGTTTTCTTTCAACCAACCACTTTTATCATTCCGTGTGCCTCAAAAGAGGTTTTTCTCTCTCTCTTTCTCACACACACACACACACTCTCTTTTCTCACTCGTTCATATTGTGACAGTTGAATATCCCTTCGCATTTAGCTTTATTATGTCGTGTATGTCCCTAAAACCATTAAATGTATTGGTCTTCGTGTTTTTTTTTGTTTTTCTTTGTGAAAACGTTGATATTTTTGATCAAATCACATTCACATCATCATCATTAGCGTATCGTTCCATTGAGATTGACTTTCGATAAGGTTTGGTTATGGTAAAAATAGCATTCGAAACGGGTAATTTCATATAGAATGGTGATGGCTCTTCTAATTTTAATTTAAGTCAATAGTTTTTATTCCAAAGTAAAACTCTTTCAGCGACTTTCAAAGTGTTATCTTCATCATTTCTGAACAAAGCCACATAAATGCACAAAATTCACACAAAATATACGAAAAAAGTGTATTCGACGATGACTTTATCACCCATTCGTAGCAATACATCGCGTCCAATTAATACTATCTGGGTGTCACATCGTTTTAATCCTCCATCTATTCGTTTGTCTTTCGTCATTGGCTGTGAGGCCAGGAGACATGAATCATTTCGACCGCTTTTTAACCAACTTATTGTAAATGTACCTGATACTTTGTTCATATTTACATATTTGTGTATTTTTTTTATATTATTCTTAGGAAAAGGCCGAGCATTGGAATCTATAACAAGTGAAGGTGAGAACACTAAAGTCAAATAGAGAACAGAAAAAAATATGCGTCATTCGATCGATTTTTCTTCGGAATAATTGAAAATAGAAGAGAATTTACGCTAAAAAAACGATTTCTCGGTTTTCAAACGTGGAAATGAATGAAATGCTCTCTCTATTCTTACACGCGAAATATATATTAAATGTAGATAGTACAATTACGCACTACAGTGATGAATCTGGATCAGATGGTTTCTCTATGCGTTGTTAGGTTGCATTTGCATTTGAATTTTCATAATTCATAACATAATCACTTAAATTGTTAATTGTTTGATTTGCACGCCAAAGTTTTTTTTTCTTCCGTTGAATCAATCCTGCGAATGTAAATATTTCCCGTATATTTAGTAACAATATTTTCGCCCCCACTCCCCGGAAAATAACAAATATTGCACGAACTTAAGTTGTTAATTTAATTGATTTTTGATCAGTACAAATACTCTTTTTTTAGTTCGGAATTTGTTTTTTTAGGTTATTTTTTGTTATAATTCATAAGTAGCAGGTATTTTGCTTTTTCGAGGTATTGCGTTGATTTTATACATTTCAATTTTGAATCCGCATGTCTTTTGAGTCGAAAGATTCGAATTATCAATACTACGAAGAAATGAACGAGTCTCAAATATTTTCCAACTGCTCATTGTTTTCTATAGAAAATCGTGGTGAATTTTTGGAAAAACTGCAGCGAGCCCGAACCGGTGTACGCAGCGGAAGTGTGTCACAAAATATTCTGTCGTCTGTGAGTCCATTGCGATTGGTGGTGGGCAATTGGTTATTGAGCTGCCAAAAGGATGGTCAATTGCACATAAATAATACGGAGAGTCAACAAGTGACAATACTGCAGGATGAATTGCCCGGTTTCATATTTGAAAGTAACCGAGCTACAAAGCATACGTTCCGTGCCGAATCAAATCTCGGACCCGACTTTACGTCCGGTTGGTCAACACAACGGAAGAAGAAAGTCCGTTCGAAAACCGAAGCACAAAAGGTTCAAGTGAAACACAAGGCTCGTGATTTGTACAATCGTTATTTCAAAGCTGCACAAGCGGTTCCAAGAGGTGCTGTTGCTAAACTGTCACAAATCGTCACATTGATCGAACAATCGATGAGTGAACAATGCTCGTATCGCAGTCATCGGAATCGTACTAGCGATTGGCAAACGAAATTGCGTAATGCGTTCAACGATTTGGCAGAATTGTTACATGACGAAGATGGTGTTGTAAGTGCCTATGAAATGCATAGTTCAGGCTTAGTCCAAGCCCTGCTGACAGTGCTTTCTAAAAATGCATGGGAAAATGATATATCACGGAATAAAATCAATAAATTTCACAAGCAACGCGTGGCAATTTTCAAACAGTGCATTCTGAACAATGCGAAAAATGATACGGCTTCAATGCTGGTCCAAAAACTAGTGGCTGTTCTTGAAAGTACGGAAAAATTGCCCGTTTACGTGTACGATGGTCACGGCTCTGGATATGGTCTACAAATTCTGACAAAACGTTTGCGATTCCGTTTGGAACGTTCACCTTGCGAATCCACGTTATTCGATCGAACTGGACGCTCTCTGAAGATGGAGCCGCTTGCAACAATCGGCCAACTAGCAAAGTACCTAATGCGAACGGTGGCAAAGCAATGGTTCGACATGGAACGTTCAACGTTTATTTTCCTGAAAAAGTTACGGGAAGATGAAATCGTATTTAAGCAACAGCATGATTTCGATGAAAACGGCCTAATTTACTTCATCGGATCGAATGGCAAGACAACCGAATGGGTGAATCCAGGGCAATATGGTCTAGTGAATGTCAGTAGCTCGGAAGGAAAGCATTTGCCGTACGGACGTTTGGAAGATATTCTATCTCGTGATTGTGTCAGCGTTAACTGCCACACGAAGGACAACAAAAAAGCGTGGTTCGCCATTGATTTGGGCGTTTTCATCGTACCAACCGCTTACACATTGAGGTAAGTCAATTGAAGGGTTTAAATTTGGCTTAACAGTTAAGTTAAAATGCATTTTTCTCTTGTTTTAGACATGCTCGTGGCTATGGCAGATCTGCCCTGCGACACTGGCTGTTGCAAGGCTCCAAAGATTCAGTGAACTGGGTCACACTGGTTACACACAATGACGATCGAAGCTTAACAGAACCGGGAAGCACTTGCACATGGGCAATTTTCTGTTCACCAGAAGAGACCGAAGGTTTTCGACATATTCGAATCCAACAAAATGGGCGCAACGCTTCGAATCAAACACATTATTTGAGTTTGAGCGGCTTTGAAATCTACGGCCGTGTCTTGTCCGTATGTGAAGATATGGGAAAAACTGCCGTAAAGGAGGCCGAAGCAAAAGTGCGTCGAGAACGAAGACAAGTTCGTTCGCAGCTAAAACACATAACTACAGGAGCAAGAGTCGTACGTGGCGTAGATTGGCGATGGGACGATCAAGACGGTACAGGTGACAGTCGAGTTGGAACAGTAACAGGTGAAATCCATAACGGTGAGTACCGCGAAAGATGTGACACAGTAAATGGAACAAAAGAGAAAATATTAATAATAAATTGCTTATCCAAATTCAGGTTGGATTGATGTAAAATGGGATCATGGCGTACGAAACTCGTATCGTATGGGTGCTGAAGGAAAATATGATTTGAAATTGGTCAATTGTGATAATTTGCCGCTGCTCGAAGCCGGTTGTTCGTCATCAAATGCGCCAGTCATGTCCGTATCGACGAAAAAATTTGAAAAATCAAATGTTCTGGTGAATCGAAAGTCTAGTTCGACGCCAAGTCTTCCAGAGGCAACGGAAAATCTTAACATTAGCTCGGTAGCATCGACCGATCAGGCTTCGTCGGCTGACAATTTGACATGGAAACAAGCAGTTGAAACGATTGCCGAGAATGTGTTCACATCCGCAAAATCGGACATTGTATCCGGAACTGAAGAGAAACCAAACAATCGACCAGATGTGTCTGTGCATGCGTTGCGTGAACTCGAACACCATCATGATCTGTCACTAATTAATCACACGCAAAATGCTACAACATCATCCGATTTAGCTACAATCACCGAGAACTACACATTGGGCAGCGAAAGCATGAAATGTAATGTTCCGTCGAGCAGTGCATTTGCACGTGCCTCAACGCACTCAGAAGATAAGTTGACAAACATCGAAGCAAACAATAAAATGAATACGAGCAACTCAGTGAATTCGATTAGTAAAACGCTGTTGGGTAGTTTGCGTGGCTGCACCGCCAGCAGAGTGTCACAGATTTCGTCGGAGGCCTTGGATGTGATCGATAAAATGCGAGAAATTCGAAACAGTACAAACAACATCATATCATCAGAGATTTTACAAATTCCACCGAATGCACATTTGGTGACATCGGCACCGGTGAAACTGTCATCATCGGTTCAAAAGCACTCGACGGCCTCATCATCGGATGGTGACAAACATCGTGGCAAATTAAAGTCAAGTCATGGCTTAAAACAAAACAAACGACAAATTGTCACCGTTGATGAAAGTTGTACACCAACGACGGCATCTCTAGTTCCGATTGTGGTAAATTCGATTCAATCTATTCCAACGGCAACAATTTCAAATCCATCCACTGCTCCGCAACCACAGACTGAGACCACGAGCACCCCTCAAGATGAAAACAATGCGTCAAACAGTTGTGAGGATGTCGTTGGTAATTCGACAACAATGAGCATCAGCGTGCCAAATCTGGCTACATCGAATGAAAGCACGAGTCAAATTGTACCTGTCTCACCGCCCGGCTTACTAGAAACATTCGCTGCATTGGCTTCAAGACGCCGCACTTCTGGCAGCAGTTTCCAAACAAATAACCAGGTAAATATTGCAATCATTTGAGAAAGAGAAAGAAACAGAATATATTGACAAATTTTGCTTCCCTTCCGCAGCCCATTCACAATCTGAATCAAACAAACTCATCAAATGTGAACACAAGTCAACAACAAAGCAGTTTCTTCCCACGTGGTCCAAACTCTGTATCAAGCTTAGTGAAAATGGCGTTGTCAAGCAATTTCCACACCGGTTTATTGAGCACCGCTCAAAGCTATCCTAGCCTCACTTCGTCAGCTACCAGCACAAGCACTAACATCTTGAATAGTTGCTCTCGTGTAACATCGGCCAATTCTGGACAGGCCACATCAATTAATCCAACATTAACAATGAGTTTGACATCGACATCGAGTGACAGTGAACAAGTTAGTTTCGAAGACTTTTTGGATAGTTGTCGCGGTGGGCCAACTCTGCTTGGCGAATTGGACGATGAAGAAGGCATGGAAGACTCAAACGAAGACGAAGATAATGACGAGGAATTCGAAGATGTTGGAAGTACTTTGCTACAAGTGATGGTGTCACGAAATCTATTGAGTTTCATGGATGATGAAACTCTGGAGAATCGTTTGGTTGCTGCTGGAAAGCGCAAATCATGGGACGATGATTTCGTTATAAAGCGACAATTTTCCGCATTGATTCCAGCCTTTGATCCTCGACCAGGCCGTACAAATGTGAATCAAACGTCCGATTTGGAGATACCACCGCCCGGTTCAGAGAGTGACAGCAAATCATTGGTTGTAGCACAAATGGTGCAGCCATCATTGATCCTAAGCATTCGTGGTCCAAACATCAACGGCGTTGCTGATGTTGAAGTTCCACTGTCAAATCCAGACTGGACCATTTTCCGTGCGGTTCAAGAGCTGATTCAGCAAACATCGATGGTCAAACAAGATAAAATGCGTAAAATCTGGGAACCAACCTACACAATAATCTACAAGAAAGCCAACAGGGATGACGAATTTGGAATGGAAGAAGACAAAACAACACCGGTCGTGTCGATAATATCGCCGGGTCAAAGCAGCTCATCGACTCTATCGCCGAATTCACCGATTGCATCAACCCGTAATCAGTGTTCAATCGACGATGTACTTCAATTGTTAACGCAAATGAATGCAATCAACGATGATCCTACATCGTTCAACACTTCGATACCGTCCGAAAATCCACTGTGCGAATTGAACTCCGACCTTTTCCTAAGCAAAAAGATAACCAACAAATTGTTGCAACAGATTCAAGATCCGCTTGTACTGTCCAGTCACAGTTTGCCGTCGTGGTGTGAGAATTTAAATCAATCCTGTCCCTTTTTGTTCCCATTCGAAACTCGGCAATTGTACTTTAATTGCACCGCGTTTGGAGCATCGCGTAGCATTGTTTGGCTTCAATCACAACGTGACGTTACACTGGAGCGACAACGTGTGCTGGGTTTAAGTCCACGACGTGACGATCAACATGATCAACAACAATTCGGCCGATTGAAGCATGAACGTGTCAAAGTTCCACGTAACGATAATTTGCTCGAATGGGCAATGCAAGTGATGAAAGTACACAGCAATCGAAAAACTGTGCTTGAAGTCGAATTTTCGGGCGAAGAAGGAACTGGTCTTGGGCCAACACTTGAATTTTATGCTCTTGTTGCAGCCGAATTACAACGATCCGACTTGGCTATGTGGTTGCACGAAGACGAAATTAAAACGAATGAAAGCGAAGAAACTTATTTGGCCGAAGGTGCCAAACCGATTGGATATTACGTGCAGCGTGTGTCTGGCCTGTTCCCAGCCCCATTGCCACAAATTTCCGAGCAATGTGAACGTGTATCGAAATACTTCTGGTTCTTGGGTGTTTTCTTGGCGAAAGTGCTTCAAGATGGTCGCCTGGTTGACTTGCCACTATCGAAGAGTTTCCTTCAATTGCTCTGTCACAATAAAATTCTTTCGGACACGAGGAAACTCACCGCATTGAATAAGAAATACAATGAAGATGTTATGGTATCGAGCATCATGTCTGAAGAAAGTGAAATTGATGTGTCGGACACGCTATCAAAACTTCAACTGCAATCCGCTTTCAATCAGGCGGCTTGGTACGAAGACATTTTGACCCAGTCGAATCTTGAAGAAATCGATCCGATTCGCGCCAAATTCTTGCAAGACTTACAAGAGTTGGTTCGTAGAAAGCAAACCATCGAACAGGATGACACGATTGATGATCAGGAAAAAGAGCAACAAATCAACGATCTTAAACTGGAGACCAATTCAGGAGCCGTGTCAATTGAAGATCTATCGTTGACTTTCACATACTTGCCGAGCTCAAGCGTTTACGGTTACACATCTGTGGATTTGATCGAAAATGGAACAAACATTGACGTTACCATTGACAATCTCGAAGAATATTGTGATTTAACATTGAAATTCTGTTTGGAACGCGGTATCGCCAGACAACTTGAGGCTTTCCATCTCGGTTTCTCACAAGTGTTCCCAGTCAACAAGCTGGCCGCTTTCACGCCAGACGAAGCACGAATGATGATCTGCGGTGAACAAAATATCAACTGGACACGTGAAGATTTACTCAACTACACCGAACCCAAACTGGGCTACACTAAAGAAAGGTATTGAAAATCATTTTGGATGTCCAACAAGATTTAATGTTTCTGTTGTTTTTTTTCTCGTTCACAGTCCTGGATTCCTTCGATTCGTCAACGTGTTGGTTAACATGAATAGCCAAGAGCGGAAATTATTCTTGCAATTTACGACAGGCTGCAGCTCACTGCCTCCCGGTGGTCTGGCCAATTTACATCCACGGTTGACCATTGTACGCAAAGTTGATGCAGATGCCGGAAGCTATCCGTCTGTCAACACATGCGTTCACTATCTCAAATTGCCGGACTATCCCAACGAGGAAACATTACGCGAAAGACTTTTGATGGCAACCAAAGAGAAAGGGTTTCATCTGAACTGAAGGTCGCACAGGCGACCAACAAAAAACCGGACACTCTCCGAATATATCGAACTGGATAAAGATTTGAAACCAACACCGTTTAGCAACACAACTTGCCAGTCACGTGGCATGCGCAGTAGCATTCGGAAGAAACAACACTTTGAAATAAAAAATAATCTGTGTTTTTTCCTTTCCTTTGACCTCTTTCGTTAATTTCAATTATATTTTTTTTATAAGCTAAACTGAAGATATTGCGTGATTCAAAATCGTGCTGTAGATGATGATGTTTTTGTCTCATTTTTTTCACAGACGAAGAAAACAATAACATTATTTAAAGTTTATTCTAGGCAAATTTCGAATTCTTATAGAACAGCGTACCAATAACACACAAGTGAAAGAAAAAAGAAAAAAGAAACGCTCTAATGATTTTTTCCCCATCGTACATAACATATATATTTTTTTGTTTAACTGTTTTTTGTAGTTAAAAGCAATTAGAATGAATTAAAACTCTAAATACAAAGAAAACCATAGAAATATAAATGTAATCAAAAAAAGGACTTTTTTGTCAGCGAGTATATTATGTAGAGTGCGTTTGTATGCGATAAGCTGACAAAAAAAACAATCGTGTGATAAATTTTGTTTTTTCTCCTTCTCACATTAAATTCATTGTCAAACCAGCAAAACTAAAACACTTTGACTACTACACATATGCGTCGGTTGTTTTTTTTTAACAAGTACATTTTCAATGTAACAAAAAAAGCACCTTGAAAGAGATTAACTAACAGGCCCTCCTTTGCATAAATCATTAAAACCAAACGAAAAGAAGAAGAAATGAATTATAAATATATATAAATATAAATATATTCAACATTAAGATTTTCAGAGTTCTGCATTGATAAAAAAACAAAAGATGAAAATAGTGTTTATAACTAAAAAATTTAAAACTAAACATTGAGAGTAACGTAGGCAAATCAAATATAATAATAAAACAATTTTGAATTCAGGAATACACAGATTTAGATCTATCACATAGAAGAAAACAATGACTAACATATTTCCAGGAGCAAAGAAGAATAAGTGAAAAACACACACAAATACAAAAAAGAACCAGTTGAATGACAGACAACTTTTGAAGTGAATAGCAGAACTAAACAACAATTATTACTAAATAATAAAATAACTTTTTATTGGGCCTGCAACGAAATAGATAAATATGATTGTGAAAAATTAACTTAGAACGAAACAAAAAACAAAAATGATTAAAACATTGTTCGACATATAACGAATATTGACGTTGATTAGGTTGAAACAACAACGGTGGAAAATAACTTATTGATTCTATTATCACTTTATACATTTAAGCCTGGTTGATGGACGTTTTTAATTTAAATTATTTTCCGTCTTTTTGAAACAAATATAAATGAAAAACAAAAAAAAACTAAAGAATAATTTATGTTGAAAATTTTTATTAGAAATCATATTGAAATTATGCTTAAACAAATTAATAAACGATATTCAAAATATACTGTTGCGGTCGTTTCATTTTTAATCGATTTTTTTGAACAAAAAGTGATGTCAATATTGATGGATCATTGCTAGTTCAAAAATCAAAAGCGCAAATACATTCACATCAGTCTTTTATGTCTTTCATCTTGAAATTTGGTTAGAATTTAATATTTCTTTCATTTAAACAATCATTTTGAAAGAAAGTGAGCACACAAAAGGCAGATGTAAACAAAACATGATAATTTCTTTGGAAAAGGCCAGACGGCACATCTGCGTTTGTACAAATGCATCCTCTTAGCACATTCACAAGCAATTTTTTGATGATTCAATTTATTCAAGTTTATTGAAAATACTTATGTGTTTAATCAAATAATTTCAAAAATAAAATGTTCTCCGAACATATCAACTGTTTTATACATGACTCGAGCGATTCTTACTAAAAGGATGCTGTCACTCTTATTCCTGTGGATTTTGTGGTCACGTAGAGATTTATAAAATTTATTATTTGGTCATTTGCTCCTCAAATTAAATTACATCCAATTGATTCGAAGACCACATGATTCTAAAAATATTAGCCAGAATTCTCCTGTTTTTCGTTTATTTTATTTTTTGGTACATTCGCTTTTGCGGTTATTCATTTCAATTGGAATGAGGTGGTATGAATATACAGAAAGATAAAATTTAACGCTTACCGTTGCTTCGTGTGGATTTGATGACACTAAGTGATTCCTATATATTTTTGAACAGATCGAATGATACATTTTTCCTATACACATACATAGCCTACATTTTGGCACTCATCCTTTCAATCGAAATAAATTTGAAAAAAACACATTCATACCGTAATATTCGTTTTTTGCGAGATATCTGTTGGATTAATGCTAATAGTATCGGTGCTGAAGACTAGACTGTCCCAAAATAAATTGAGGTCGTGATTCTGGTGATGCTCCGGCGTTTTATGAAAAAGCGTCACGATAAAATAAGATTGCGGTTATCAAGAACCAATTCTGTAATTTCACTACTACACCCGCATTTCAGTTTACTGAACACCTTTCTTCCTCAAAAATTCACAAAATGACCCATAGAGTGGTAGAGAAGCCAAACTTCGATCCCGATGTATGGAAGCATATGTTCGCACAGCCACAACGGAGAAGTTGGCATTATCCGATTTCATCTATCTGCTCTATTTTTCAATTGAATATTTTTTTTCAGAAAATCAGTCTATTTCAAAATTTGGGATTGACCTCGGATTTAGCATCTATCACTATGCCCAGATCTGTTTGTTCACACAAAGACGAGAAATGCAAAATAAATAACATTCCCGGCGAGAAATATTAGAAAAACACACTTTCCCCTACAAAAGTACTGAAGAAAGGGAGAAATATTAAATTTGCCCATTTTTTACATTTTTCATACAAAATCAACTGAATGTCACTAATTGAACTGTTCTGACAATCTAACAACATGTTTCCACCTAGCTTTTGACACAAAAAAACGATTTCACGCATCACCCCACCCCGCCTGATTGTCAGAACAGTTCAATTAGTTCAAACCAGCAATGTTTTGTTTTGTTTTGTTTTATCTGTCTTATTATCTGTAAGTAAATATGTGACAAATTGATTTCCGTCGATGTGATTCTACGTGACCTTTGTTCATTTGTTTATAATATGTGTGCAAGAAGTGAACAGTTTTCAAAACGAAAAAGTCAATCAGATATACTTCAATTTCTCTTGTTATACTTTTTTATGGGAAAACTTGTTTGAAAATATATAGTCTTTTTTGACTATCATCTAGAGATTTGATGTTAGTATACAATGAAATGTTGATTTATTCTACAATACGATTTCTATTTATAGCACGTTACATTTGTCTACACGACATAGTAGCTTATGAACGCGGAAAAGAAGCTTCTGATACTAAGGAGAAACCAGTGAAGAATATTGATGAAACCAACAGAATTGATGGAACAATTGAAATTGAGTCTCTCATTGTCAGGGTATTAAATGAACATGATAGAAAATAAATAAACAAGGAATATGTTCAGTTTGAATTTTAGAGCTAATTTTTGATAAAACATAACATTTTTTTCATACGCTTTACTTTTTTTTCATTAGAATTCGTATTGAAAACATTAATAAACGATATTCAGAATATACCGTTTCGGTTGTTTCATTTTTAATCGACATGAAAATTTAAATTTTATCAACGGAATCTTTTCCCCCCAATCATCCGCTCATTGCGTGTTGTTAACGCCATCTAATATCGTCTCAATTCACAATTTGCGTCCACTTGACATTCGTATAATGATTAAAATGTACTGTATTATATAGGCTATGCATTATTGCTGCTACCAGCAGAACATCTGACCTTGTATACATAGTTTACATATATACGAATACATGAACAGAAGTTAGAATGCTCGCAATAGTAATAGTGCTGATTTGACAGTTCGCAACCAGTACAATTCAATACAGCTTTTTATCTTGAAAATGTATGTGAGCACAGAGCATACACTGCTACAGCTCATTCAATATATTGCATTTAGACTAACCGGTCGAATCTAAACAATTGACAGAATATAAAGCTTGCACAGTGCACAGTGCACACATGTGTATAAGTGTATATATTGCGTTTCTTCAAATCAGATTTCATCACCATTTTTCACTTTAGTGTTTTCGCTTCGAACACAGTATATATTTCCGTCTAGTAAGCCATGTATAACAGTGACAAGTAGGACATTTTTCTACAAGAGTGAAAAAAAACACAAAGAAAAAGATAAACATGGACAATGAAAAAAAAAGAAGACCGTATCGACCGAATGGTCAAAATTGGCAAAAAAATAATCGGAATGGAGACAACAATAAGAAAAAAAATAATGGTAATGGGCCTGCAGCTGGTTCAAGTGGTGCTGGAAATGGAAAAGAGAGAAATATTAACCACACAAAACCAATTGGAAAAAAAACACTTGAGGCTGTGTTGAAGGTGGAAAATGACGCGGAATTAATATTAAAATTGTCGTCACGAATGAACGGATTTCTGATTTTGCTGGACCAACAAAAAATTGGATCAGATGTTATGTGCCTTATTTTATCCGCATTCGCAAGAGTGTCAAAGAGTTCCACTGAACTTGACACAATTCAATTGTTGGTTCACTTTTTCATGGAAATAATACCAAAGTTGAACACGACATCGAACTTCAATCGCGAGCTCAAACTGTTCATTACTGATTTCAACAAGTATTTTGCACCATACTCACTGCACCAGAGAAAATACGTCGTAGCCGTTGAGGATTTGTTGACATTTTTGCGCAGACTCCAATTGACGGTTTACCAAAAATCGTATGATGCTGTACGCGATCTAATGCAACTCATAACTTCGCAAATTGACTTCATAAATCGAAAAGGGAACACATTGAATGAATTCATTGTTGAAACGATGAGCCAGCTAAACGATTCGGTGGAGAATTTCGAACAAATGAGAGATGAAACGGAACAAACGGAAGTTTTATTGGAACCACCAGAAGATTTCCGCAAAATCGGCATTTACCCTGACACATTCGATATTTTACATAATCACGAGCCATTCATTCGCGCAAATATCGTCGAAGGGAAGTATGTGGCTGGCGTTGATCATTATTTGGATGTTCAATTTCGTTTGTTGCGTGAAGATTTTGTGCGTCCGTTGCGAAGTGGTATCACCCAATACCGCGAAATAAGGAGCAAACCGGATGCGATGCGTGCCGCAAAGTTTCGTATTAACGAATTGAATATCTATCAAAATGTGCAAATTTACGGATCAAAAATGGTGCACAGCGATCAAGTTCATTTCTGTAGATTTGATATCACGCCATTTCGAAAGATACGATGGCAGGTGAGTGCCAATGAATATTTCCTTTGCGATAAGTGATTATTTTCTTTGCGAATTTGTCTAAATTCCTTTCAAATCCATCCAATTCTACAGTACAACAAACGCATGATGAATGGATCGCTGGTATGCCTCTCCCCAGACGATTTCGGAACATTCTTCTTCGCTACGGTGGCCGGGCAACGCGATCCCGAAAAGCTGGCTAAAGGTGAATTTCAAATAAAACTTGAAGTCGAGAGCTCGGCGATGCCGGAGATAACTCCGTTAATCACTTATGTTATGGTGGAGTCGCACGTGTACTTCGAGGTATGTACTTTTTGTGCTCAATTACAAATATATCAAGGAATTAATTTTGACGTTCTGAGTAGGCCTATCGTCACAATTTGAAAGTGCTACAGAATTTCGGCAATGACAATTTTCCGCTTGAAAAATACATCGTTGATGTTGATAAAGACATCTCACCTCCGTCATATTTAACCGAAGACTCTGTCTTTCTAATTTCGAACGGGTTGCCCGAGGACGATCCCGATCGAAAAATATCAGCAGTCGACATGTTGAGCAACCAAGAATGGCCACCGCGTGAAGATTTCCAATTGGATGAATCGCAATTTGAAGCGTTCCGTGCAGCATTGACAAAGCAAATGGTCGTTATTCAAGGTCCACCAGGTAAAATGATCTGTAGCATATTTATACTTTTCTGCTCTTTAAACTATGCATTATTCGATTGATTTAGGAACCGGCAAAACGTACATCGGCTTGCGTATTGTTGAAGTTTTACTTACAAACACATCGCAATGGCCCATACTGGTTGTTTGTTACACGAATCATGCGTTAGATCAGTTCCTCGAAGGCATACTGAAATTTTGCAACAACACAGAATTGGTTCGCATCGGTGGCAAGTCACAATGTGCGGCATTGGAGAAATATAATTTGTCATCAATCAAATCAGACATGAAATCGAGACGAGAAGTACCAACGTTCATTCACCATGGCCGTAGGGAAAGCAGTTTTCATTTGAAATCAATTCAAGAGGATATTTCCAATCTTGAAAATAATATCGAACATATTACTGACTCAGTGCTCGGATGGGAGCTCGAACAAGTCATTAAGAACGTGAACCCGGACCACTATTTACAACTGATTAATTTGGCGAATGGTCGCCGTTTGAATGAGGGAATATTGAATTGGCTTGGCTATGTCGTAAACAATGAGATTGATATCCCAGAGAATAATGAAAACAACCTCGACAATGACGTTGCCGCTGAATTAATTCAGGAAGTTTTTGAGGAGCCAGAAATGGACGAAGAAGATGTGAAGGCCATGGAAAGAGAACGAATCATCGATGAGAGTTCAGATGAAGAGGATGAAGATAATTATGATGATCGTGAAATGGCTCAACGTCTGATAAATCCCAATAATGTGCCAATAAATATTAATGAAGTCGTTTCGATGGATGAAGATGCCGATGGCTTCAAGCTCGATAAAAAGGGTCGAAAGAAGTTGAAACAAAAAATTAAACAAGAAATAAAGAAATCAGAAACAATGCCAGTGGATCAAGCTAAAACAGTTGCAAATATCAACGCACTTTTGCCAAATAATCGGTGGAACTTGTATAGACTGTGGATTAAATTGTATGTGCAGCAATTTGAAGAAGAAATTAAACTTCACCGTGATAGATACAGAACCGAATGTCTTCGTTTCGAAGGTCTGCGAAAGCAAGAGGACATTGAAATCGTAAGAAAAGCCAAGATTATCGGCATGACAACGACCGGTGCGGCCAAATATCGCCATATAATTGATGGGACGAAGCCGGTGATAACAAGTAAGGCTTATAAAATTATCATTTACATAAATCCTGATCTTCTCAATGATTGCACAATAAACCAACACAGTGAAGCGCAATGCTAATATATTCAGCAAATCCAAAACCTTTCTGAGTTCAGTTTGCGTTGCTTTTTTCCCTATCGGAAGTTCACTAACTTGAATCATAAATGACGTTTAACGACCTTTGGGACACATATGTCCCATTTTGTTTTTCGTCTATAATTTCCACATTTTTAAATCGATTTCGATAAAATTGATTTCTCTTGAAAAAGAATGAATGTAGCTACCCGAAAGTACCATAATATTGGATATATATCATCACTGTGCTCAAATACGACACTCCAAAGTCGAAAAATCGTAATTTTTTTTTTAAGTTGCGCCAAACCCTATATAATTTGAACGGTGCAACTTTTAAAGCTGAAAATTTGAAATGATGTGCGGAATGTCCGGTACTTTCTAAAAACAATTGTCTTTATTTAGAAAAAACGTTTTTTTCACTTTTTATTGCGTTTGGCGCGATGGGACATATGTGTCCCATAGGTCGGTAAAGGTAAATGAATACCCCGGATTTGCCTGTATTCGGACCATTTTTCGCGAATTTTCAAACGATTAAATTCGTTATTGAATCTTAAATGAGCACAACAAAGCATAATTCAAACCATTTATGGTTACAAACAATTCTAAAAACTTTGAAAACGAAAAAGATTTTACACGTTGTTCTTATGGGAGGCATGTTTTTTTTCCGTAGAAAGATAGTTGCCGTTACCGACCAATAGGACACATATGTCCCATGTTTTTTTTCTTCATATTTCCAGTTGAAAAAATAATTTTTGATAACATTTTTACTATGGTTTTTGGGGTCGCTGCGCACGAATCTGCAATCAGAATTGCAAAATTCCCATCCGTTCAATCTTGGTCGCCAAAGGGTTAAAATGTAATTTGTTACAAATGCCATTTCCAACATTTGTGTAAACCTTATGACGAAAGCGTTTATTTACTTTCATGTAATCCGTATCGGCATCTATACAAAGTGCATACCTACATTAGTGCAATAATCGCTGAATATGTTCCATTTACACTTCACTTTGTTGCAATAGACACTGTTCATTGCTCTAATCATTTTCCCTTGTTTTCAGTTGTTGAAGAAGCAGCCGAAGTGCTCGAGGCACACATTGTCACTGCACTTTGCAAGCGGACAGATCACTTGATTTTGATCGGCGATCATTTGCAATTGAGACCAAATCCGGCGGTCTACGAACTGGCGAAGAAGTTCAACTTGGAAATTTCATTGTTCGAACGATTGATCAAGAACCAAATGGAATACTATCAGCTGAAGCAGCAGCACCGAATGCGACCATGCATTTCATCACTGCTAGTGCCACACATTTACAAGCAATTGCTTGACCATCCATCCGTGCTTGAGTACGAAGATGTGAAAGGTAAATCGATTTTTAATAATTTGGATTAATCAACGAAATCTTCATGCAAATCGATTCTTATTCCTTAGGTATTTCCAAGAATATGTTTTTCATAAACCATGCTCAGAACGAAAGCTCCATGCAGGAGACTCGGAGCCATTTGAACTTGCACGAAGCTGAATTCATCGTTGAACTGTGTCGATACGTCGTTCTGCAAGGATACGAAACATCGCAAGTGACCATATTGACTTGCTACTCCGGCCAGTTACATCAAATTCGACAGCTGATGCGTACCCAACATATACTGAGCGGTGTTCGGGCCGCCGTCGTTGATAATTACCAAGGCGAAGAGTGTGACATAATTTTGTTGTCGTTTGTACGGAGCAATGAGGAAGGTAACATTGGATTTTTGAAAGATTCACACCGCGTTAATGTTGCTTTGTCACGTGCACGCAAAGGGCTTTATTCCATCGGCAACTTTGATTGTATGGCCGAGAAAAGTCAACTATGGCAACATTTATTGTCAGATTTAAAAGCTCAACAGGCGATTGGGGACGCAATGGAAATCTACTGCCAAAACCATACTGACTACAAGAATTTGGTGAATTCTAAAAATGATTTCGATGTAGCTCCGGAGGGCGGTTGCTCGCGTCCATGCGGCCAGCGGTTGCCCTGTGGTCATTCATGCGCAAGTGTATGTCATATCATCGATACAGCACATGTTGATACGTACAAAATTTGTTATAAAAAGTGCGACAAAGAAATTTGCGATTTGAAACATCGATGCTCGAAAACTTGCCATCTTGGAAAAGAATGTGGTAATTGTAAAGTTCTGGTCCAAAAGTTGCGAACGGAATGTCAACATTTCGTTCGTGTTTCATGCTCGTTTGATCCATCATTGGCCAATTGTCATGCACCATGCGAAAAGAACCTCACCTGTGGTCATAAATGTAAGGCTCGTTGCAGTGAAATTTGTGGTTCAAAACCATGCAATGAACGGGTGCAAGTAAAATCACCATGTGGCCACACAGTTACTGTTTATTGCTCCGACGCCAAGAATAATTCGAGATTACTGAACGCATGTAATGTACGATGCTTAGTAGAATTGGAGTGTGGCCATTTGTGCGAAGCTGGATCCTGTGGTAAATGCAAACTGGGCCGACTACACACCAGGTGAATATATTTAAATGCATGAGATCTCTTTCAGATTTGAACTTTTGTCTTCATAAAACGATCTTTCTCTACACTTCTCAGTTGCAAGAAGAAATGTTCAAGGATCCTAATTTGCGGCCATCCGTGTCCGGACGACTGTTCTGTCCAATGTGCCCCGTGTAAACAAAAGTGTATGAACAGCTGTGTCCACTCCAAATGCTCGTTTCGCTGTGGATACCCATGTCCACCGGTAAATGATTATATAATAACTTTCTTCAGTAAATAATGATAAATTAACGCTGTAACTTCTATGGTTTTCAGTGCATGGAAAAGTGTGCCTGGCGTTGCGATCATTTGCAATGTTCCAAACTGTGCTCCGAACCATGTGACCGCGATCTATGCGATCATCCAAGTACCAAATTGATCAGAAAATGTCAGCATCCTTCGATTGGTGTTTGTGGTGAAAAAGTACCGCGATTGTGCCGAATTTGCGACAAAGATGAAGTCGAAGCGATATTCTTTGGGAATGAAGATGAAAGTGACGCTCGCTTTATTCAGATGGAAGATTGCAAGGATGTAATTGAAGTCCAAGGATTGGTTTATTGGATGAATGATAAGCCCCAATCAGACGACACCAACCAGAATTCAGCCAACAATCAAAACAGCATTCAATTTAAGACATGTCCGAAATGCAAGACCATTATACGTCACACCAAAGCGCTAAACACTTTCATTCAGGCCAGCCTAAGAGACGTTCAACAGGTTAAACTCAAGACATGTGGTGAGCCAGAGGCAAACAAAGCTACACAACGTATTTTATACGAGAAAATTGACGAAATCTTGAAGAAAGAGTCATTTAGCAATGACCCGCTACACCTATACTATATTTACAAAGAATTACTGAATGATACGAAATTAAAATCCGAACAAATGTTTGCAAAACCAAACCAAACATTGATTGAGCTCAACAACAAATTCGAATTGGTCGAAAGGCTCAGAGAGATTTGGTCGGAGTTCGAAAAAAGAGAAAAGTCGAAACAAAATATTTGTACTGAAGCGATAGCCGCCTTCGATAGTCGCCTGCGAATGGCTGCTTCATTCATCAAATATTACAAAAACTCAGCTCAGCAACGTGCTGACATTTCAACTGAAATGTCATTTCTACAATTGATGGGCGATGTGATTGTAAAAGCAAGCAAACAACCGTTCAACGACACTGGAATGAAATTATTGAAGGATGCATTTGAAGTCGCCAACCGATATGGCAGTGCCACGGATAGTGTTCGAAAAGAATTTCAAGCGATGGTGAGCGAAGCGTGCAAACATGCGTCAGGAATCGGCATTACGATGGAAGAAAAAAAAATGATTTTGAAAGCAATGGACTTCGGACGTGGTCATTGGTATAAGTGTCCAAACGGTCATGTATATGCCATTGGTGATTGCGGTGGGGCTATGGTGACAAGCAAATGTCCAGAGTGTGGACAGACAATCGGCGGTGCAAATCACCAGTCGGCAAGCGGCAATACTTTAGCTACAGAAATGGATGGCGCTACAGAGCCGGCATGGCCAACTGCATTCGCTGGTCGTTACTAATATTTCTTGGTAACTATTCCATCGATATCATCATCATATTATTTGAACTATATTACAGTTCACCAAAATAATTTTAATATAGCATTTTTTATGTATTTTTTCTCGTTATCAAATAAAACTATATATTCTCTGAGAAAAAAGAAACTTTAAGCATAAATTTGATGAGCAAACATGCAAGATTTTTGCACCGCTGAAAACTGTTCAGCCATTCGTTTACTATTATGATGATCGAGTCGAAATCCATGGTCTACAAGCTTTTCGCAACATTTTACAATCATGTGGACATCTAATTTCGAATCTTTAAATTAATCTTCATGAGATTAATGGAAACGATAGCCTGGAAATTGCCAGAGAGGTTGTAATTCGGTGTTCTGAAACATTGCCTCAACTTAAAATTGTTGATTGTGATTCGAAAGTCTTCACAGAAAATCAATCTTCTTGCAAAATGTTTAAAAAATAACATTCAGCGGTGAAATTACTTGTGCACAACCTGAGGCCATATATCTCAATAATTTTCTACAGAAAATGCATTCGTTATCATTCGATTCAGTTCATATGCGTAATTTAAATATATAAAGTTTTCCAATTTGGAACAGTTGTCTGTTAAATTTTCGCCATGGAGCCCACACGTTCAGCTTGTTTACACTGACACTAAATTTTTGAAAGCCTTGAAAGAGCGTTCGAAACTGAAAGTTCTGAAAATTCATTTGTTGAAGAGTGATTATTTTGAATACAGTAAAGAAAATCCAGATGATGACAAAATCACATTTGATAACCTCGATGAAGTAGAGTTGAATTTCGTAGAAGATTTCGAGCTAGAAGAGTTCATTGAATTTACCGAAGACTCATTGGTAAATGTAAAAAAGTCAAGGAGGGTGTTGTGAATGGTCAACAGCTCGTAAAACTGGCAAGTGTTAGTCCAAATTCCATCGAGGCATCTCTTGACTGTGCTCTAAATGCTTTGCCAAATAATATCACCACATTCGTTGAATTTAAAGGAAAATTGAATAAATTATACTTGGGAGCATCAAACGAAACACCGCACGACACTTTACGCGACCAATTGGGAGACAAATGGATCATCACAGAGGTATGCTCTGATGCAAAGCTATGGGGCACGTCCGTATGTCATCCAATAAAAATTGTGTTGATGATACTGCTTCTTCTTCTTCATACTATCGTACAGAGCTGAAATCGTCACTGTTGTCGTGCGAACACAGCTCTAGCTGCGCACACAATTATATGTGTGTGTGTAAAGAAGAAGAAGAAGCAGTATCGATATTCAGTTTGCATACGGACGATCGGGCATTATCATCGAACGACGGTAATTATTTTACGCAAATAAAATTAACTCAAACGTAACGTTCAGTTTCAAGTCAACAAATGGCCCAACTTTCAAAGTCACATTTAATCGGTTATTTTAATGGTGAAAATTAATATATCCGCGCATATTTGTAAATTCATTTTTTCACTGCTTCAAACTATCACATCATTTCGACCGATTCTTCCGGTATAAATTGAATGATGGCTTTTGCAGTCCTAGAGTCACAAACTAAACGTGTAATTATCTAACGTTTCACATAGCCTTTGTCCTTTTGGAAACGTTTACCAAAGGCTATTCTGGACCGTTTATCATCTGACTACTTACCAAGCATTTCCATCTTGATTGTATGATATATGTTTTTATGTTATTTTAAAGAGATACTTTTTAACTTCATTCAGCCAGAGCTTGGCTGTGTTAAATAAAAAAATAAATAGATACACACAGAAAAGAATCCCCGGAAATTATAGGTGTTCGCCGTAAAATTTGACATTTATATATAAATTTCTATGTACATTTTACCGGCAACACTTGAATTTTCCGGGCGATGACATAATTTCAAATATTCCAACAGAAATTAGCGCCATCTGTCATTTCAAGCGGTAAAATATATATAGTATTTGATAAAATGTTCGAAAATATGTCATCGCCCGGAAAATTGAAGTGTTGCCGGTAAAATGTATATAGAAATTTATATATAAATGTCAAATTTTACGGCGAACACCCAAAATTTCCGGAGATTCTTTTCTGTGTGTATATAAATACAATACAGATCTGTGATCATTTTCGAAAAAGTAATAGTACAACTTTGTGAACATTCACTCAATTTATTTCAATGGATAATTGAAATTTCGTCCAAAAAAATGAAAAAGCCGTCCAAAAAATATTACGAAAATGGAAGAATTTTTGGTCGAATTTCTCATTTTTTTTGGCCGGTTTTGAAAATAAAATTATAAAAACGTCCAAATTTGTTTTCGTCTCCAACTCTGAAATTAGAATTTCGTAAAAAATTATTCGAAATTCGTCCAAAAAGAGTCATGTGAAGAAAAGGTAGGCTTTTGTCATGAATCCAAATTCCTTTTTCGGAAATGTGTGGACGAATTTCAAAATAATTTGGACGATTCTCTCAATATTTTGTGCAATTCCCGAAATATTTTGGACGATTTTCTCAATATTCTGGACGAATTTCGAATAATTTTGAACGAAATTCTAATAACAGAGTTGGAGACGAAAACAGATTTGGACGTTTTTATAATTTTATTTTCAAAACCGGCAAAAAAAGAGAAAATCGACCAAATTTTTTTCCATTTTTGTAATATTTTTCTTACGATTTTGGAAAAAAATTTGGACGGTTTTTTTTCATTTTTTTGGGCGAAATTTCAATTATCCTTCTGCAAAGTGGTTGAATTGAAAATTCAGTTCAAAAATCAACGCCAAATTCAAATATTCAAAACTTTGTCAAATTTCATGAAAGTTGCCCAACTCAGGATGTTTCATTTACAATGCATTCAAAATGAAAATTGATACATGACAAAATTATATTAGATACTCTGAGAAAAGAAATTTAGGGTTATATTAAATTTTTTGTTTTGACACTTATTTCACAACAAGAACTTGAAAACATTGTCGTGATATTCGTTACTAAATATATTTTTGCCGCTAGAGCACCACAAAGTTTTTTTGACTTTGTAGTGAAAAAAAGTTAGGAAAATTTTTGGTACCAGAAATCACCACAAACTTTTTGAATTCATGTTGTGAAATAAATGTCAGAACAAAAAGTTTAACATAACCCTAAATTTTTTTTCTCAGAGTAATTACTAATTGTCAATGGAACATTGACTGTTTTATTTTTTCGTAAATTCCAATAGCCTATGGGTGGACACTAAGCCGAGTTCAACTTTGTAGTAATTGTGATACTTCTGTGGATTTAATTCCATATCCAAAAACCATTGGCGGACTTTGTATTGCATAAATTAAATTGTTTTGTTTTAATTAACCCATTATTAGAGAAATATACAACATATCAAAAAGTCATTTTCACATCTTCATATTTCGAATCTTTGACAGAGAACGGAGCATACGGCTTATTGTCAGACAGCGGCCAGTACTCGGCAAGTGTCGCATTGCAAAAGTGAAATGTGTGATAATTCATTCAACTAGTTGCCATCTTTATCAGCATGATGTTTATATGTGCATTGATAACTATAAATATGTGATATTGAACGATGAACTTAAAAGCCATTTTGATTAGGAATAAGCAACGACTCGTACAGTAAATGCATTTTTCATACATGTTGCTAATGTTTCAGTTTTCCATATTATTCTGGTGTCTGATCCACCATCATTATATTTGTCGGAAGCTGGCTTTAGAAAAAAAAGTCCAAGTCGTCTTGGCCAAACAAGAAACTACGTTTTTTTGGAATACACAATGTGTTTTAGTAATCTCTGTGTTTTACATTTGTTACTACTTAATTGCTAATTTATAAATACATTCCGTTCACTAAAAAGTCTGCATCATGTGCATAGCCTTTGCCGCGTCTGACGCGTTTTCGAACGGCTGTCGTTCGGCAACTGATAACCATGACTAAGCCAATTGTAATCAAAATGCCTGGAAAATAATAATAAAAAATAGATCGTCTCTTATCGCTGTAAAAAGATTAAGACCACAGTTTCTTTGGAGTAACTTACCCAAAGCAAGTGAAACCACAGCGCCTCCCGGCCGATCGGCTTCGCCATCATGATCCATGAATTCTACTTGTAGGCCTGAATGTATCATTTTCATTTGCTGCGCCGATGCATCCTTTGTGACCACCCGTTCTTCGGTCGATTGCTTGCCAATTTTGTTCACCTTACGATGTTTCTTTTTCTTTTTCGGTGGTTCAGTCGTTGTTTCTTCTTCGTCTTCGTTATTATAATCGGAATCTTCCGTTGACTTAGACTCACCTTTATTTTGTACTAACAGACCTTTGCCATCTTTCTTTCGATCATGAACGGGGACATCTTTTATCACACCAATCCCTTCTTTTTCAGGCAATACCTCTTCATTATCGTGATTCGGATGGTTAACACTCGGCACATTCGGCAGATTAGACTCCGAAATCGGCCAATTTACATTGTATTGCTGTTGGTTATTCAGTTGCGTCTGATCGGATAATCCCACACTTTTCTGGTATTGAGTGTATGCAGGTTTCTGTGGGAATTGTAGCGGCTTCAAAGGGAACTGTGGCATTTGTTGTTGTGGCCAATTTGGAACTATATTTGGATCGGTAAGACCATTCCAAGCGTAATTATCCTTTGAAATGCCAGGGAATCGTGGCATATCTGGCTGTAATCGGGCTATTTGTTGTGCTGTATCAGTGATTTGCAAACCCCCATTTCGATTGAATACAGCTTTGCTGGTATCTAAAAAGAAGAAACCGAATTATAACATTTGAATTTTGTCTTCTATTGAATCGTAAAATTACCATCGGTGTATTGATGGACGGCGGTTAAATCTGGCTGATTTAAATTCGGCCATTGAGGAGCTGTCAAAGGATCTTCACGATTATGTCCAATTCCAATCTGAAAACGAAAATCATGCAATTGAATTTTCGATCAGCATTTCCAGCTAAAAATGAACTCACATTCGCATCGTTTTGAACGTTGCTGTTGCTTAAAAGCTGTACACGACCATCAGCTGACGCTTTGTTCTGTGTGGCTTCGGGTGTGCGTGTTATCGATTGACACTGAGAAGAATGAAATGAAAACGAAAATAGAATCAAATATCATTCGTGAAATCACGCAAGAGACACATTGCAATTGATCGTACTTCTGTTATCGCAATTGCAATTTGTTTTTGTATAAATCATCATGTAATCAATGTGTTTACCTCTGGACCTTCATCACTTCCATCGTCGCACTGGGGTATACCGTCACATGCATTATAAACTGCTATGCAATCGCCTGAATGGCATTGAAATTGGAACCGACTACAGTGCATCGTTGCATTTTTCATTGGTACTGCAATTGCTATGTGTGCACAAAAAACGCATTCGAATCCATTAGAGACTGTACAGCAAATGAAAACATTGTCACAATTTATTTTACCTTTAATTGTCGTCGTTTCAACTGCAACGGTTGCATCATTTGATGGCAATTTAGCGCTCACGGCATCGCCTGATTTCCTTTTCAAGCTTTTCAATTCGATTTCATTCTGTGACAGCGTCACCATCGCCGCATTATTTACTTTTTTCAACGCAACTGATTGTGCCGGCACTTTTTTCTCAACGGAAAAGATTGCGCTGGTATAGTTTGCGTGCTTTGAAAACTTACATCGGAAATTCTGTGCAGGTCCACAATGGAAGAGGAAACACTCGCCTTGACCCTAAATTGATTGAATGAATGAACATGGCACGGTTGTGGCAAATGAAAGAAGTGAACAATTTCTAGATGTGTTTTACCTTTTCTTCGTACACAAAAACATCACAATTTTCGGTTTCGCAGCACAAATGCAAACATTCGACTTTGGTCAAAGCGTCAGCACTCTCCAAAAATTTTGCACCTAATTTCGTCGATTCTTCCGTTTTAATAATCATGTCATTTTTTATATCGAATTTCCCTAAAGAGAAAAAATCGATATCAATACAATTCAATGGCGAAAATACAAATGCTACATCCGTATAGTAATGGAAAATTTACCAAGACATGAAGCAATATCCATTCGTTTGACAATGTTTCCATGATGGACACACTCAATCCGGTGCAATTGTAAGAAAACACAACATAAAACCAACATAAACCAGTGCAAGTCACTTAATTTTAACATATTTATTTTCCACATAGCCATTAAAAATGTAGCAAACTAGATTGCAGTAACAACAATTAGACAAATGACACTTTTCTGTCGCTATGAGGACGACCGACCATATGGTAATGCGCGGAATTCACATTTGGTAAATTTTGTTTTAGTTTACAATCAATAACAAGCCGAATATGAAAGGTAAATTTTTTTTTATGAATTGCTTTGCTAATGCGATTTAATACGCAATTGGATGGTGTCTAATTAGTGAGGGCTTTCCTGTGCTTCACATAGAACCACCGTGTAAATTTATTATACTTATGCTTTCCTCTTCGCGGTGGAAAACTTTGTAGTCTTTTTTCGTGTGTAGCTTGTCACTTTATCAGTGTGTTTTGATTGTTGTTTTCGCTATGTGGCGACCGATCGATATAAATTCGGAGACATTTCATTGGATTCACGGTAGATGAATCGACACTTCCATCGGCAGTTACATGGTTGTCTCTTTTCCGCTTAAACTGTTTTCGTATTTTGACGGGGTAATATGTTGTCAAAGCCATTGCGCCGACGCGAGCATTTTTTGTCATGAATCACGTGCGATTTTGCAAATTAGTATTGTTGTTGCTGCTCCAGCATACATTCCATCTATAGGGTGGTCACGGGCAATGCCACAAACAATGCACTCAAGTCACGTGAAACAAAGCGAGACGGAGACTGAATCCGAACGATGTACGTGAGCCACAATGAACAAGTGACTGAGCAGCATCGGTGTATATGGTTAAAATTCTGGAAAAGCGCATTGATTTATCGCATTACACCATCGAAGCCATTCCTTTTTTGAGCGTACTCAGTTCGACACTGCACATTAAAACGTCTAACAGAGTCGAAAATTGCAACCATAAAACACAGTTTTATCTCTGACTTTCGGTAATTTTCTCATTTGAAAATGGAATAGTGTAGTTCATTTTGTGTGTGCAACGACAAAAAAGCGGATCTTTTCATTTGTAAGTGATGACTTTTTTATTGAATGAGTTTAGTTGGATTATTATTTGAGCTAATTGATTCCCCGTTTGTGGTTTATGCGTTCGCCGTTTGTGTGTGTGTGTGACTGTGTGGCAAGAGTCTAATTGATAACGAGGTTCTTTCATTTCTCATTTGCTCATTTTGAGGCAATGTCATAATTAGCGAACAGAAACGATTTTTTACGATTTATGCAAGAGATTGTTTTACACACATCATCTCAAAAGTTTACTTGCATCGTTGTACACGAATTGAATTACCGTACATTTCATTCGTTTGAGTCATACGTTTATATATACGTATATATCTCTTGAAATTTACGTGTTTTCCCATTTCTTTATGCCGAACCATCATATCAATGATCTCACAACAAGACATTTATTTCTTTTTATTCATTCGTTTTGGTCACACAAAAAGCATACTAATGACGTGTGTATCAAAACACATCAAAAGCGAAGCATTCAGAGATCACAAAAGTGCGAATATGATTGAGCGGTAGGTAGTTCCACAATAAAAACAAAGGGATATTCATGTGAAACATGTATATGGGAAAAAGACACCCAACGTATTGAAATGGATTTTTTTCTCTGGTGCTTCTGCTGCCAAAAAGCGAGAGACCATTGTGTATTCTGCCAAAACATAATACACCTGTGCGTTTAAAATGTATTGAAAGCATAAGCGACTCATCCTACCACATGCACGACAGGCATATATATATGTATATATATATATATATATAGCGTACACAAATGTCACGCTCGCGAACACACACACCAGCAGCAGCAGCAATAAAAAAGGCACATTATTTCATCTTCAGACGAACATATAAAAAGAATGACCATTCATCCCAGGAGACACTGCGGTAGACGTGCACTTATGAGAGGAGGTGACTGACAAGACGAATCGTACGATGGGCTTGATCCATTTGATTCTGTTATAGCGGGTTAGATGAGACACATAGAAAAAGGCGAAGCGAGAAAAAACGGAAAATTTGTCTTTCGAGGCGAGTGAGAATGGTGTAAGTGATGTCGCGCGCTCAATTCAGAAGCGATGCTTCTTTTATTCGATAATGTGGGCGACACAAAGGGGTCAGATCCAGTGCCAACAAACTCTTGTGATATAAATTATGTACATAGATAAAAGTACACATGATCTCTCCATTATTGTGCATTCAGTACCTGTTCAGATGGTCAAATAGTGTCTCAGTGTCTAGGTCTCATCGCGTCTCCCCCACAAACGCGATTTTGGCTTTCCACTCGCTCTCTAGCTCCGGATGAACATTCTTGCATTAGATTTTCCATGCGCAAACAATACACCAACACGCGCATACATTTGCATTTTTCGTTCATGCCAATTTCCACACACAACATACACGAACCCTGTGGTCTCAACACAGTTTATTAATTTAGCTCGTATTTCTACTTAAATCATCGGTACTGAGAGCGTTCAAAATAGCGAAAAAAAAGTTTTCGCAAACGCGAGAAGTCATTGTTGTTCGTTGGGTAGTGAAAGAAGTTGCGACGAGATAGACAGATAGGGAGAGAGGAAAAGAAAGCTAAAAAACCAAGCAATAGAACACAACTCCAAGATAAATAAGTGAAATTCTACATTGTTTATGGGAATAAGCGTGGACGAGGAAGAAAAAATTAGCAATAAACGAATAGGCAAAAGGTTCGTTCCGCCACAGAAAGCAACCATGAGTTCAGTTGTTGTTTGTGTGTTTTTTTTCTTCTTCTTCTTCTGTTTCTCTTCAATATTTCTTTCTATCGTAATATTCATTGACTATTTTTACATCGCCGTTTTGCAGTATGTTCAAGCTGTACTTCTGGTCTCTAGCCATTACCGTACGCTTTTTTTGTGTTCAGATTGTTGCAGAGCTTGTGTGTATGTGTGTCTGTATGAGTGAGTGAGCGTGTGTGTATAGTGTATACATCGTTCTTATTCGGTTATTTGCCCCGCATATATTCCACTCTTCACAATAATAATATTCTTATAGCCATCAAATTCCGTTCCGTGTATATTTATGCTGTTCACTTCGGTTCAGTTTCATTTTTTTTTTCTTCCACATTTTATTTTGAGTTTATTCTTCGCGTTTGTTGATTCTTTTTTTAATCTTATATGTTGTTTTTTTCCTCTTGCTTTTCTCGCTCTTTCTCTTCTCGGGCGTTAATTTCGCAATGGGAAGCCGAATGATGAAGAAAGAAAAAGAAGAGAAAAAACAAAGTATGAGGAGCAGAACTCAAAACAATATTATTTCAATGAATTTATAAAATACATAATGCCGATGGATGAGTTTGAGAGTATAGACGATTTCAAAACGGTATGCATTCAGAGTGAACGCACCGAATGCGAGAGAAAGAGAATCAAATCAACGGCTGACGAAAGAAAACATCGCCGTCGCTGTCGTCGTCGTCGTGACTCGTTGACTGTTGAGCTTATAGCACGTCGATTCGAGTGTTTGCGAACGGTTGGTTCAGTCTCAGTTTATCAGTGTATTCTGAAGCACATATTCGAAACATCTTCTTTACGGGACGTGCGGAATATTCAATTTATTCCACGAAAATCGTTTCATCCAGCAAGTCTGAGTGTTTGTACAGCATTTTATTTTTCATGAGGATTTTTTTTTTCTCTTGTATAACGTTTTATTTATTTTCTAAATCTTCATATGGATCGTGAGCATATTTTGTGAAATTTTGTGATTGCTATTATTTTTCATGTCTGAAATCATTCGAATGTCCAATGGCACGAATGACCGCTCCGCACGGTTTGAATGTCGTTGATGAATCGACTGCAATTTAATCGTTTTATTTATCTTGTCTGGTGTGCGAATTAGAGAATTCGTCTTTGTTGAGAGACCAATAGAGACAACAGAGATAATTCTTGGAAATTTTCTGTTTTACCTTTGTCAAAGATTCGACAAAAAAAATCATAATTGCTATCAGGTTTCGGCACCATTTAAGTGTGAATCAAATAGCTGAATACCTTTGTGAATTGTGACAGTGCTTAAATATATTATTCCATCTTCATTCTTTGATATATAGCAAACTTAACATTCAATAGACACCGATGTGAAATGAACGGCTTCGAATCAGTTTACTTCTAAGAAGAAGAAAAAATCGAAGAAAAAAAAAACTTATCTCGATTATCCCGTTAAAATTGAAGCTAAATTCAAGTGAATCAAATGTACAAAGATTAAAAACGCAAAAAATAAAAAAATAAAAAGCTACAACCGAATACTATTCAACACACGATGAATCGTACCAAAAGAGTGCTTGAGCACGGCGAGAGAGAGAGAGACGAAGAGAAAGGAAACACAGAATAAGAATAATAATAACTGGAAAAAAGGTTACGAAAAACCGCGTCTTATTAAGCGTGCACAACAATTATTGTTACTTTGGCGTTGTTCGGTTGCTTTTTTTTTAATTTTCTGGTAATTCATTTTTTTTCTGTTGCTGCCATCGTTGTTGTTGTTGTTGAACTGATGAAACCAATTGATTAGCATTTTGAAAGAAGAAAAAATGAGCGCGGTTTCAAACGAAGAAGAAAATTGCTCCGGTTCTGCACAAATTATTAATCCCCTCTCCCAATTTCAGTTTATGTATGAAACGTGTACGATGTGCAACAGAAAACTTCACTCAAATTTCTATGAATTCGAATCGGTTGAACAATTAAAAAAAAATGATCCAAGACAACCCGAAACACTTCGTATGATTGAACATAAAAAAGAAAGAAAATGACGCATTTTTATTGGGAAACATTAAAAAAACGTAACGATTGTGAGTCGCTTTAACGCACCTCGACGTTTTTTTTTGTGTGTGTTGTAAATTCTGTTTCTTCTTTTCGTATATTTCAACATTGTCTTTCATCATTTTATATATTAACCAATGATGTTCAATGGTTGCGATGGTTGTTGCTCATATCTTTGTTCAAAAATAAAAAAAAGAAGTTTTTTTTTGCGCTGTTGCGTTAAAACTGCTGACTGTGTGGTTCGAATTTTCGGTGTCGATGTGCTGTACTGTGCCATTAGTGCAAATTATAATTAATATGTAATTCTAATGATAGTTGCGTGCGCGCATAACAATAACACGAACTGTTGCGAACGCGGTGGATGATTTCGGTTCGTATACGATGTGTATTAAAGTATCATAACCGCAGCACACAAAGAACGGCTGGAAAAATCAGATTCGCAGAAAGACAATAGCTGTTCGGAATCGGAAAAGTCTATACGAGCACCACAAATAATAATTACATCGAGTGCATAGAATATTCGCGTAACCATTACAAAATAAGTATATTTCGGAGCGTGTGTTATTGTTCTAATTTTTTTTATGGGCTCATTTTCATAACAGTTATTGTTGATAATTGTGTGCATTGCTTTCCATTCGACACTTGAACGCGCGCGCGTGTGTGTCGTTTCAGTGAATTATTTGCTTTCGCAGCTTTTATTGATGGACTTTGATTTTCTGGCTTTCGACCACATCAACCGTTTCACACAAAGCCCCCGCAGTTCGAGCTATTTGTCATCATATCAATTGAGACGAGTGATTCAAATCATTTGTGATCCGGGTATCAAATTTAACGTCACGTATCTTTTGTACGTGTTTTTTTCGGGAATTGCATCGGTCAAGTTACAACCAGCAACAACAACAGCAGCATTCTCGAGAGGGCCTAAAAACAAATTGAATTACACGCCAAGCGATGATTACCAGCTAAATTGGTATTTTGCGTACGGTACAAGCCTACATCACTTCAACTCAATTGCCAAGTGCATGATGTGAATGTACGGAGCCAAATCAAGTATGCAAATATTTGATTATGCACGATGATGATGCTTCAAGTTCATTCAACAGAGAGTTATTTCGAATCCGAATCTCTGTATTCCGTGTATTACATTGTGTGCGCGTGTGTTTCCGAATACATTTGAACCACTTAGTCTTCTCAATTCTCTCACTCATCATCGGAATCATTATCATCAATAAAAAGCATTTCCCAGTTGCTTAGCTTTTTACAGTATACATAAACACTCTCTCGAACGAGAAGCCAGTATATTTTCTTTTTCGTTACTTTTTTCCCTTCTTCGTATTTCGTGCATACAAGAATTTGACACAGAAATTGATAAAAAGAAATAAACAGCGTACAGAACTCGTATTTTGACGCGTTAGTATGGGTGCGTGTGTGCATTTCGTGACAAGAAAGATGTAAAGAAAAACAACATAAACAGCAGCAGCAACAACATACAATTTCTTCTTTCTCGCATTTCTTCTTTTGACTGTGTGATTTTCTGATATGAAGAGTGAGTGAACAATGGTGGCCCCATATAGGTTTACATGGTACATATATTGACTTATTAATAAAGTTGCGCCTATGTGCATCGTGAGCTGCTTCTGCTGATGTTGATGGACAGTGTTTGTGGTTCTTTTCATTTCATTTTATTTTTTTCTCTTCAAAACAACAAGTGTCTATTGTTGGTCAAGTTTTCGCTTTAATTGTGGTTGACGCTGTTCGCTTTTATAGCCCCGCGTACGCATAAAAGATATATAAATGTGTTTGCTGGTCTGTTTTTTTGGCTAGTTCCATTCCAAAATAAGACTTTTATTTTTGTTCCTCTTATCAGTCACAAACGAATTTTATTCTCTGTCTATTCGAACTTCAAGTGCTGTGAAGGCGTGTGAAACACATTCATTTGAATTATAGTTGTGAATGAGACTCTGCTTTTTTTTTCCTTCGTTATAGTTAATCTAAATGGAGATCTTTGTTTCGCTTTCTTTGAATTTCAGTGTGTGGTCACCGCTAAACAAAAAAAAACAACTTGAGTATCGAACTCTATATGTTTCCTAAGGATCGAAACGCCAAATATTCCATTGATACTGGACATTTTAAGATTGGTGGAATGCGATGGTAACACGAACCGACTGAAAAAAAAACATATCACAGAAGGTGATGATCAAGCACGATCCATTCGTTTGCCCGTGTTTTTGTTGCCCATATGTTAGATTACATTTTCTGTGAAAAACACCATATGACCTCTCGTATGAATGAAAGTGGCTGAAAAACCTGTCGATAACTTTGAGACAGTTTGACTCACATTTCGTGTGTTTGTATGTGAATGATAGCTGCGTATTCCACGAATCTTAGTCATTTAGTTGCCCCACAACATTTGAATTGAATGTGCTTAACCAGAGTAAAGAAGCGCATTGAAACTGTCCGAAAATATTCGACAATCTAGTCGGTTGCTCGCTGTCGTAGCGCACAGAGAAACTGTATCAATATTTATTTCAAAACCATAATTTGTACATTCTAATCGTAGTTTTTCTTTTTCTGTTTAGTCGTCCATAAAATTCTAGATAACGGTGTGATAAACAGTGAAACTGGACAACGAATAATAATATAACATTGAATCTTCAAATCTATTTTACAAATCTAATTCAATTCATAATTTCGCGAAAAAAGCAACTACAAAAAACTGAAATGCAGTGCAGTTTACAGTCAATCAACGATTGCGAGCGATCGCCAAATCGAACAAATTTACGTGTAAACTTCACCGAAAAAGGCGAAGCGGTGAAAGAGCGTCGTGAAAAGTTTCTTACCGCCAAATATGGGTCGCATCAAATGAGCTTGATCCGAAAGCGTTTGGCTGTCGAAATGTGGCTGTATGATGAACTCCAAAAGTTGTTCGATCCACCCGTAAGCCAACACACCTTAGTCACAAATTCATTTTGATTGATTTGTTGTTCAGTACTAATCCCGTCAATTTCGAACCTATTTTTAGTCTGAAGCTATCGATGTAGACATTGATGAAATTCTCGATATGGACTCAGATGACAGTAGAATAAACCACTTAAGAGTAAGTTTAATTATTAATTTAACCGATTTGTCCGTGCTTTTCGACCAAAACCGTTTCTATTTTGTTCATTGCAGCGGCTGTTGACTGATTGTAAGAGGCCTCCACAAGACATATCGGTAAGTGAATTAACGATTATTATCTGGCAGCTGGCACTTTTTCTATGGACGCAATTTTTCTTCAATTTTTTTTTTGCATTTGCAGAAATTCATTGCTGATCTTCTCGACAGAGCTAAAACTCTTTAAATCACTTACTGTTAAGATTGTGAGTTAAGAGGGAGATGAACGAGATAGACAAAAAAAAACAAAAATCGACAAAAAACATCAATTTATGAAAAACACAATTTTTATTGCATCTAAACATAAGGGATAGTAATTGGATTGTAAGTGCTACTGCTGCGATTACACATTATTTGTACTTTTTCATAAATTCACTAGCTATTATTTATGATGTATCAAACAAACAAAAACAGAATAGATGTAAAACGAAATTTTTAGCTTAATGTACGATCGAACGGGGAGAATTTGAAGATGAACAACCAACTAAATCACAAACTCTGCGAATCACATTGCATTCAACAATAACAACAACAACAATGGCAACTGAAAAAGAAAATGTGCAAAACAAACTCACAAGCACTTTGAAGATTGACAAATGCATACCTTAACGATAACGATATCATCCAAATATTATATATCATTTAGACATTTTAATAAGATAAAAATTAATAAATAATTGTGTAGCTTAATGGCCAATGGTATTTCATTCATTTTACTCAATTTGATCTGATTCAACGTGATTTGGTGATACATGAAGGTGAGTGTAAGCAAAAGAAAAAAGCTTCGATGAATAAACTGATTTATTCAAAAAGATCTTCTTCTAAGGCAAAATGTACATTTGGAACAAAACTGTAATGTAAATATGAAAACAATGTCACCGAAGCGCACCCTGGCGGATTTCACTGGTAACATGGCCACTGTCAGAATAATGCTAAAGCTGTCTGAAGCACAACAACATCCAAACATTTGTTAATCACAAAAATTCATTTGGAGCTACACCACATAGTTTTGGCTCGTTCAAAGTAAAATTACCTAAAATTTAGAAAGAGAAAATTGAGATTTGGTAAGCAAAGACTTCGTAGTTAAATCAATCAGACTAAATATGACGGACAAACCAGACCCGATCAGAAAGAGAACGGATATGTCATCGATCCCAACTAAGCAGTACATCGACCAAACAGTGGCCCCAATTTTGCTTGAAGGTTTGAAGGCACTAGCAAAGGAACGTCCCGCCGATCCAATCCAATATTTGGCCGATTATCTACTGAAGCACAAGGCAAATAATGGCGAACAAAACCGAGAAGAGCCGGCCGAAAATGAACCAAACTAAGGATGAAATGGTCAACACAAAAATTTGTTTATTAAAATAGAAGGAAATAAATTCATATGAGCCCCATCAAAAATGCATAGTTTGGTTTCATTTTCAGCAGATCTGTTAATGTTTTTGGTTTCGATTCGAAAAAGCAATTCGTTTCGTTTACGGTGGTTTGTATTTATCTTCTTTCAATAGGGACGTATAATTCATCTTAACCTATATGTCATATCCATTTTTAATGACACCTGTCAACATTATGGCAATTGATTTTGAACACGACATACTTTTGATAAAATAAATAGAATTATCGAATTTTTCTCGCTTGACTCCTCAAAAAAAGTGTGCGAACAAAACTAGTTGAATCATTTTGAATTAAGGCTGAATTTTTGTGTTTGACTTTCATTCAATTGAAGTCGCTACGTGAATTTCATAAAAAAAAAATTCATTCAGAATGACGGAGCTGTTAATCGATCCGAATATTCGTGTTTGGGTATTTTTGCCCATCATTGTGATCACGTTTTTGGTCGGTATTATTAGGCATTATGCATCGATATTAATTTCATCACAGAAAAAAGTTGAGCTCACGCAAATTCAGGATAGGTAAGTTTATGGTTTGCTATAAGCATTTCTGGCATACTAAAGTTACATATTTCAATCGATTTGGTTTGTGTTATAGTCAAGCCATGATAAGGGCTCGGTTGCTACGAGAAAATGGCAAATACTTGACGGCTCAATCGTTTGCAATGAGACGGCATTACTTCAACAATGCGGACACCGGTTACTTCAAGACACAAAAACGCCAGCCAGTCAGTCCAAATTCCACGGCGATGTTGTCGGACATGGTCAAAGGGAATTTCATCAATGTATTGCCAATGGTTTTCATCGGAGGTTGGATCAACTGGATGTTCTCTGGATTCGTGACGACCAAAGTCCCATTCCCATTGACCCTTCGCTTCAAACCCATGTTACAGCGCGGCGTTGAATTGGCCTCACTTGATGCAGCCTGGGTGTCCAGTGCATCGTGGTACTTTTTGAATGTGTTTGGCTTAAGAAGTATTTACACTTTGGTTCTGGGCGAAAACAACGGTAATTTTACTGCACTTAATTAGAAGATGAAATCAATAGAATGAAATCTAATTCTAAATAAATTCGTATTTTAGCGGCCGATCAAACGTCAGCGATGCAAGAGCAAATGAGCGGAGCAGCCGGTTCAATGCCACAAGATCCAAAGGCGGCATTCAAAGCCGAATGGGAAGCCCTCGAAATTACCGAATATGAAAATGTACTGCAAAACGTGGACACACATATTTATGGTGCAATCAGTGAAAGTCTGTAGTATTTGAAACCAAAACTCAAGAGAAAAAAAAATTCAACAATTAAATTAATTGATTTGCGCATTGAAAATGCTTTGCATTTTTCATCTCAGTGTCTGTAACTTTTACCATATTTAAATAAGTTGGGTAATTGTAAATCAATAATGAAATTAAAAAAATAAACGAATGAACAAAGAATTAGTACAAATCGAGTATTTTTTCATTCTTCTTTTTATTTTATTTGAGGCAATCTAAATTGTGATACAATGTTTTGTTTTTCAAAAAGAAAAAAAAACGCACGAATGATAAATGCCGGTTAGAATCGAATTGTCCAATCAATCACAACAATTTTGTCTCTTGGTCATTTGAATTTAAAATAAGCTTGGACAATGAACTTGAACATGCAATACAATTGGTTGCCTGTCGTGTGCAGACAAAATTAAAATAAAAAGCTATCCCATAATGTGCAGATATCAAATCAATTTCCTTGCGCGAGTATTCGAGCATTTCCCCCCTCTTTTAACTCAATAGGTGACATACTTTGATTTGGTATGTTAATATGCCATGACAAACATTCGACTGTAAAATAGACGAACATGTTTTATGAGTCATTCAGGAGTACTCGCTCAGTGCTCATTTCATTCTTCTTAGCATAGGATTATAAGAGTTATCGATGCTTAATGATTAGTTATCGGTCCTAGAACGTGGGTCTGATCAGCGCCGATAGGGTTCTGGTGAATATGATGGGGATCGCCGTCGTGAGCTACGATGTGATGCTGACTTCTGACGAGTGCTGCGCCCTTTGTACACACCGGGTGTTGGTTCGTGCGGCCTTGATGTTATCGAATAATCAACACGAATTCTACGATAATCGATTTCCATACCCGAACACGCGTCTTTCGCATCTTTTGCATCGCTTAGATGTTTGTAATATATAAAACAGAATCCACGAGATCGCCCGGTCTGCAAAGGTAGAAGAATTAATTATTTTGGGAATGAGTAATTTTGAAAAAAGTGAAAGACTCGAGAGAGAGAGAGAGAGAGAGAGAGAGCGAGAGAGAGAGAGAGAGAGAGAGAGAGAGAGAGAGAGAGTTGAAATAGACGAGAGAATTATCTATTTTGGATTTCTCACCTTTGTGTCAAAAATTACATTAATTCGCTTAATTCGTCCGTATTTGCAGAAAATTTCACGTATTTTATCTTCTGTTGTGTTTGCACTCAGTCCAAATACGCCGAGACATTTCGATTGTGCCGGTGGTTGAGATTGCTACGGGAGAATTACATTTTATTTTAGAATATGAATTAAAATCGTTTCACTCAGATGTAAAAAGGGTAAAAAAAACTTACTCGTCCACGTCGATTTTGTCTCTCATCATTACTTGAAACGCTTGAATGTCGCCTACGGTTACGCTGTCTACGACTATTGAATGGAATAATTCTCATAATTTAGATGAACTCAATTCAGATTAAATAATGTTTAAATTATCAAACATCAAAAAATATACTCACTGTAAACTTTCCCGTGATATTCCACTCGATGAACTACTGGATCTTGATCGACTCATTTCCACCAAATTTACTGGCAACAATGTCTAAAAAGCGAAAAGCACACACTTGAATTTCGGCTAAATCAATATTAATTGATTGTATGGAATAAACAAAGTCAGCTAATTGAACGTGTTTCCACAGAGATATCCGATTTTGTTTACACACGACGCTTCAGACAGTGAATTCATATGACTCGGTTTTGCCGTTCTGTCACATGAAATAAACAGTCGCCCATATTACTATTTATACAAAAATGAAATGTAATCAAAAGCAGACTATGGCAGAGATAGGGACACACAACAGATAGGGACACACAACAGCGCGCTCGATATGGCTGTTTCACATACATAACATTCGCACATACAACTATTTTGGAGAACGAATTGATTGGTTCAGCGCATGCGTGAAATCACTGAAAAGTCAAAGAAAAATATATTTGTGTAAAGGAATGCAATCGATTAAATTCGTCGTAACTTCCTATCTTTGTTTTCTTTTCATTTTTGTAGGCGAGCTTTGAATAATTAACGAACAAAATTGCATTTGCATAAAATCAAAAGCAATGAAAAATTATCGTGTATCGGTGGTATTGATTTTGGCCGTGTTTAAGCTTGCCAACGGTGATTTATCCGTGTCGCTGGGCCGTGCAAATGTGAACGAATGGTTTTCCAAAAAAATCGAACCGCAAATGTTCAATTTAACACTTGAACAACCCGATCAGTTTGAGTATAGTTTTTCACTGAAAAACTACCCCGATCTACCGACATGGATGCGCTTTATGTACAGCACCGAATATAATTCAGGATTTCTCTACGGCACACCACCGGAACAACTCGGTGGACGTGAAGTAAGTATGATTTTTTTCATTTGTATTTAATGTGCTCTCTCTAACTTCATCTTCACCATGAAAACATGTTGCAGATCCATCTGGATGTGGTTGCATTGAACAAATTGAATTACAACATCGAACATGCCGTACTGTCTCTATACATTGCGCGCAAAACAACCTATGCGGTGAACACTGTTCAAATGAAAATTGACAATCTGAATTGGGTTCATTTGACCGATCCGGGAAGAGTGGAAAATTTGAAAAATATCTTTACATTCGATTTGTGGCCGGAAAGTAAAAATGATTTGCACATTTCGTTTATGGAATCGGCCGTTAATATGGGTGGTCGAGTGCCAGTTCAACCGCAACAGAAAGAAGGCATAATCGTTCATTTGTCATCGCACACGGCATTTTCACAACGACTCATCGATTTGCAGGAAGAAGTGAAGCCATTGTACAAAATTTCCACTTGTACTTATAAACGAACTTCGGTTCAAACGATTTTTGAGAATGCTGGATTTAAGTTGGACTGGTGCGCATTTCATATCGTCAATGATGACAGTAAATCGGCAAAAAAAGCCCATCACACTGAGCACAAGCCACGCGAACAGGAACCATTGTGGGATTCAATGTCCATGTATGAGATTCCGCAAAGAACATACATTGACGAATTTGCATTTGCCATCGCATTGCCCGGTGTTCTCTTGGCAATTCTAGTCGCCATTCTATCGGTTGTACTATGCTTCCAACATGAAAAATTGTAAGTTTTCCAACTCATTATGCGATTTTGTGTTCTTAAAGTGAACGATTTAGATTCATTTTCTTTGATTACTACTTTATTTTGGCACTTTTCATTTTCTTAGATTTGATCCACCGTCAGAACTTTATTTTCATCATGTTTTCGATATTGTTATTGATTATTTGAGGTGATTTTCTTGTTTCGTTGATTTGATTTACATTTCTTTTGATACCAAAACTTTTCGCCATGGAACGATTAAAAAGTACTCAAGTGTGTGACTGACAATCAAATTTACAGTGTTCAAAGGCCACACGGACCGGGGCATACGGTGCAAGTAGTTCAATATGCTGATAACCACCCTACGACAAGCTTGAAAAGTATAAAAGACGTCAATACATTGGTGGATAATGTCAGTTTGACTTCAAACAGGTAAATGATTTGCCACAATTTTGTTTCCCGCTGAACTTTGGTAATTGAACCGCCATCGTTGAACTTTGATATAATCCATTTAACGTTGTATTCGTTGCAGTCCAAACAACAGTTTATATCGAGCAAACAATGCAGCTGCAAGTACCCTCCGACCAAAGCCACCACCGTACAAACCAAAAAACTTGCAATACAATGGCGCTCACATTTGACAATTGAATGGCAACAACGACATGCCGAAAGGGGCAAAGGTATTGTTCTGTTGAGAAGGAGCAGCAGATAATAATTCAAATATGCACATGTAACGTCGATTTAATGGAACAATAATGCATTTCATATCACCATATCGAATCCAAATATCATCGATAAAAATTAATAATCGTACATTGTAACTCACATCAATAATCGTCATCGACAAACTAATCAAATTAGACAAACTAGCCCGTAGAAATAATTGATACAATCCGAATATCGTAGTGTTTGAAATGTAATCGTTTAAATAAATATAGAAATTTAACACTCGAAAGGCTTGTATTTTCTTCTTTTTCTGTTGATGTGTATGTGATGAAAGTTCTTTCGTTATCAGCTCATCTAGGCTGGCGTTTGTTGTCTGTTGAAGATTCATCAAACGGTGTGACCAAACAACCGTCGAGTGAAGCTTATTTACAATAATTGATCTAACCAATAACACTCTTGATTATTTCACAATTTTAAGCAACAAATCAACTACTTGTTTCTAAACTGAAAAAAGTGAAGAAAAAAAATGGAGAATGCCTTACTTTTTCAAAATATTCTCTCCGAAATGAAGTCACAATTGAGAGGAGTAGCAACCGAGCAACTGTAGATATGACGAATTTAGCAAACGTAATGTAACGCAACACAATTGGCAAACGTTTGAATTGCTGTTTTTATTGTCTTTTTTGTTTTTAAAGGGATGCTAGAAGCCGACTATTCTAGTGTCGTGCGTGTTGTGATTAAGGAACAGAAGAGACAAAGCTATTAAGCCATTAGGTTTGACTTTTCGAATGAAAATGTTGCTATAAAACATCGAAACCGAGCGCCATCTGCCGTTAACTTTGACATTTTAGAAACACGTTAATTCTTCACTCAAGAATCTTTCGAGAAAAAAAACAAATGAAATGAAAAGAGAAAATTTTTATTTATAAATTAAAAAATAAATAAAATGTTCAAATGATGAAATGTGTCATTTGTATAATTTTTTATGCATGCGCTTCATTCCACACCAAACATGAATAAGTGAAGGTTAAATTAGCTTCAATGACATTTGAAAAAAATTTGACGTTTACATTTATAGCGTGATGAGAATTGTAAATAAACACAATTGAAGAAGAACATTTTTCCAACTGAACCTCAACTAGAAGGACATTCCGTAAGTTTTGGAGAGAAAAAAAAGAATTGAATTTATTATTACCGAGAAACACTGCAAGCGTTTCCATTGAATAGACTGACAAAAATTAAGTTAAATTGTAAAAAAAAAATAAAAACATTTTTTATAGCTTCATCGAGTGAGTCAAACATATCAATAGAATCAGCCAAAATGACCGAGGAAACAGATTTCCCCAATGAAATTGATGACAATAAGAATAAAAATACGATTCGATGTCAGTTCTGTGATTCGATCATTTTGAAAGCGAAACAAGCCAATTACTCGGAAAACGAGGTTAGTTCAATCAATAATTTGGCGTTTTTTTTCATTCATTTTTCAGGTGTCCATTAATTAGTCAAATCGATGCCCATATACACACAACACACATATTTGACATTACATTCAGTGGAAATGTCATTAAAATTCATTGCGATTGTATTTTCGACTTCAGGTTTTTAATTTTTATTGCATTCATTTTTGTTTCAGTTCAATTTACCGCTGATGCACCAAAAGAATAAGGAATCGGTGACAGAGAGTGAGGTTTTGAAAAATTATTGGACTGTTGATGACATGTTCACATTTGAAAATATTGGCTTTTCCAATACCGTGCAGAACAAAAAGTATTTGATTTGTGCTGATTGTGAAATGGGGCCCGTCGGTTACCACGATATTACATCGAAGAAATGCTATGTGGCATTGAAACGAGTCAAGCATGTGAAATAGGCGCATTTAGTTTGCGCCACCAGTTTGTGTTGGACAGTATCCAAAGAGAAGAAGAAGAAGCAGCAGCAGCAGCAGAAGTGAATCTAGAACAAGGGGATCGAGAAACTATACAATATTCCACTGTAGCCAAATAGAAATACACAATGCGTTCAACAAAGAATTCCATAAAATTGTCTCCTTGCCTTAAAGGAAAGCAAAAATCAAATATAATAAAATTTTAATTAACAACTATGTATTATGTACAATTAAAATATACGTAACAAATAACTTAATGAGTGTTTCATATATCAATCATTCAAATTATTTTCAATTAAAATTATTACATTATTAGATTGGAATTTTTGGTTTTTTCGGTCATGTATTGACAAAAAACGGCATCGGTCACCGCAAATAATTACCATGCGAATAATTATGATATAAAATCTAAACAATTTTTGGTTTCGGTTGTGTAGTTTGTTGCTCTTCCAACAAAGCATGGAATCGAGACTCTATATCTCTGGCAAGCTCTTGCGGTTGACCCTCTTCGACAATTTGACCATTGTCCACGACAAATACGCGATCGGTTTGCTGCAGACCATTTAATCTATGCGCTATTAACAATACTGTGGAAGTTTCGAAGGCATTTCTAAGAATTAATTGAATGGCATTTTCTGAATCGGAGTCCAAGCTTGATGTTCCTTCATCAATTACAACAATCTAAATGATAGTTTGTCAAAATGAAACAATTTTAGTGAAACTGTTTTTGAATGTGTTCTAAAGGATTGTTTACCTTTGACTTTCGAAGTAGTGCACGGGCAAGGCATAATAACTGTTTCTGGCCTGATGAAATATTCGAGCCCTTGATATCCAGATTTGCATTGAGCCCACCGAGCGATTGTACTAGCGGTGTCGCCAAACAGCGATGAAGAGCATCCCAAACTTGTGAATCTACAAAAATAGTTTTTGCATATTTATATTCGAATTATGGAATATGCGATTTTTATCACAGTAACAATATCTGTACAAATACCTAAATGTAGGCCTCGTGGGTCCAAATTATCGCGAATGGTTCCAGAAAATAAGAACGAATCTTGTGGTACAAGTGCGATGCGCGATCGAAGAGTCTGAAGTGGAATAGTTGATATGTCAACGGTATCAATGTTTATGCGGCCAGTGCTAAGTGGAGCGATTCGCAATAACGCTGCCATTAGTGACGATTTACCAGCCCCTGTCCGTCCGACTATGCCAATCCGCTCACAAGATGATGTTTGAAAGTTGATATTTCGCAGTGATGTTTGTAAATAGGGCCTATTTAGAGGAAAGGAATTAATCTTTTCCTTACATTCATCTTTTTTCTGCAATTTACCTGTATTTCAAGGAAACATTCTCGAATTTTATAACACCCTGGCATGGCCAACCGAATGGAGCATCTCTGCTACCATCAGCGTTGACTTCGGGCTTAAGATTGCTGTAACCGTTGACACGCTCAACGGCGATTAATTCCTATAGATTTAAAAAAAAATTAGCATAGAGAAGTAATATTGAGCGACAGGATAATTTTTACCTGCTCCGTTTCAGTTAAAGCATTTAGAACACCACTCAATAGTGTCACAAAGGACAAGGTGTACGAGATAACAAGACCTGTCAATTCGGGAGTGGTCGAATCGGCAGACGTTATAACAGCTATAAATCCTGAACCGCCGATTAAAAAGGCTCCAAGCATTTGCAAGCGAATTCCAAGCCATTGCTGAGCTGCCGTTGCCGTCAGTTGCGCTCTAGTACTTTCTTCTAACTTCACTAAAAAGTCACGTTGGAACCGACTGCCTGCTCGCATTGCCCGTATCGTTGCCAAACCTTGAACTATTCAACAAATTTTCTATGAAATTATTTCACAAATTGTAGACAAAAACTAAATCACTTACCGGTTTCTGTGAAATGGGTGTAAATCGGACTGTGGGATGCAAAATACACGAAAACATTATCATTCGAGATAAAAGAGAAGTGAACAATTGAAACTCACCTCAAGGCATTGCTGGACAATCGTTTGATATCACGTGAGGACTTGCGATACCGTGACTGAATGTCAAAGTAAACGGGGCACATTGGGACCATTAAAAGTATTAACCATGGCATACCGTATAAACTCACGCACAATGCACCTGAAATTCGAAAATTGGAATCAAAATAATTGTCATTAATTCCAAAGGAAAGGATTGAGCATACCAATTAGTGCAGCCACTTGTGCGAGTAATATATTCAGAATAAAAGGCAACGAATCATCGATTGTATTGGTGTCCGAGCTGAATCGGTTCAATATACGACCGACTGGTGTGATGTCAAAGAACGAGAATTCCGTCTAAAAATAAAGCAATTGACATTTGATAACTGAATGAAAACAGGAAGCCAATTATCACAGACTGATATTTTTATGAAATTATTCTTACAAATATGACCGAGTTCAACAGGCGATTGTGAATGAACTTGGCTGCTCTGATGCCCGCATATGCAAATGCAAAGGAACGAATTAAAGCAATCAGTGAGTTGAACACGGCAATTCCAATGTAAATGGCGAGATAATGACTAGTCTGTGAGGCATGAATTTGTTCTGGTGATACATCTACACTATCATCCATACACTCGTCCAAGGTACGGAAAGTGAAAAGATTTCCAAAAATACACGTCAAATATTCCTTTAGTGTATCAGTATATGAATTCGTTTCAGTTGATACGGTCGGTTGCGTCACTGTTTCATTTGAGTTATTTATACTTTGAATCCAGTGAGCGAGCCATGTATCTGATAAATTTCTTGAGGCTTGCATTAAAAATAGTGATACGATAACAAGTAGGCCCATTGTTGGTCCCCATGCCTTCCAATACACAGCAAGCACGCGTGATGATAAAGCACCAGTCTCTTTGATTTCCTGTCGAGAATACAAATTTATCATTTAAATGGCAAGACACAAGTGACAAAAAGAAGATAAGAAATAAAGGGTGACGACTTACTTGAAAGACGGACTTCTCTGAGCTAATGCTACTTTCGCCGCTCAATTCAAAATTAATTGGCGTATTCAGTTCTTCCGTTGACGATGACGATGAATCGCTTTCAAAGTTCCCACTTTCAAAGCTGCCCAGTGCGAAATCACTGGTAGTTACAACACCCTGTTCGACGTGCAATATTTGATTGGAATAATAGAACAATGTACGATTTTCCGTTACGATAATTCGAGTACGGTCTTTCAATAGGTCCAAAATACAATATTTTACGATATGTTTGCTCACATGAGCATCGAGCGAAGCCAGTACATCGTCAATGAGATAAACTGGAAATCACAAGATGTCGATTAAAATAATTCTCGAAAATGGTGAATTTTAATCGCTGTACATACTTTGTTTATCTTGGTAAACTGCGCGTGCAAGAGCAACTCGCGCTTTCTGGCCACCTGATAATGAGGAACCATTCTCTCCAATATCGATATTATCACCTCCTAAATCTTCGATGTCTTTATGTAAGGCACATGCCCATATCACTTTTCGGTATCGACTTTCATCGAACATTTCACCCCACACAATGTTTTCACGAATCGTTCCGTGCTGGAGCCATGGCTGCTGTGCGACATATGCCATTCCTTTTTATATGAAGAAAAAAACAGTAAATAGGATGCTTATAACTCTTGAAATGTCAATGAACGAACCATCATCAATGTTCTGCAGTTGAATGAATCCACTGACTCGATTCATACTACCATTGATAGCACTTAAAAAGGCAGTTTTTCCACCACCGACTGGACCTTCAACACAAACCAAATCACCCTAAACAAATAAATGTGAACAAAGATTAGTGCGCTGATAAATCATTAATTTCAGTTTGTCTGTACCTTTTTTATATCGCCAGATATTGGGCTAAGATAGAAATTCTGCGTCTCATCATTTTCATCGCTTTTTTCATTTTGATTATGGCAGAATGCAACACTTTTCATACTAATTACAATTGGTTTTTGGGCAGACTCATCATCACTCGGAGTTTGTGGCTCCAAGTTGGAATAGTATTTGTGCAAGTCGATGTCAGGCAACTGCAAGTGGTATGAAAAATAAAGTCTTCTGTTCCAACAAGAACAACAGTTAACAAAGCAATTGATAATAAATAGTAATACTCACATCCAGATAAGTTTGAACTCGTTTTAACGAAACATAAGCTTCGACTAAACCATTGAAAACCCATGGAAAAGCATTTAATGGGCCGATCAACATATTCAATAGCGCAACACTAGCAAAAGCCGTACCGGCTGTTAATGCTTGTCCTAGTAAGGCCGCCGTTCCGAAAGTCAATAGTTTAATTATTGTCGGTGTAATTGCCCAGAAAAATACGCATAACGCATCCAAATACTTTTGCTTCGATAAGGCTTTTAGCTCCTTCTGTCTCACGCCTAAAAAAACAATACCATAAAAATATTTTGTAAAAATTTTAATGAGAAGAAGCTTCATACTTTGGATTCGCTCAATAAAAACGTCTTCCCATGCAAGAATCTTAATTTGTTTTGCTCCAGATAAAGCTTCGAATGTTTGTGAAACTCGGCCATCTTTTGCTTCGAGAAATGCTTGTGATAACGATGAAATTCGGTTAGCTAACCATCGGGTGATCGGTATGAGAATGATGGCAAAGATGACTCCACCAATGAATGCAATCCCAATTTGTGTGTACAATAGATAGAGCGTCGCGAATAGCTGAAATATTCAGTATGTATTTAGGGGTTGATTCTGAAATGAAATACGCTTAGTTCTCACCTGAAATGGAATGCTCCAAAATGAATGGAAACTAATGCAAGAATTGACGATTCGATCAGTGTCTGTTGACATTAGATTGAGCACTTCTGGGCTATTGCTATTCACAAACTGTGCATTTAAAGTCTTTCGATAAATGGCAGTGGTGATTCCCATTCGCATTTTCAGACTGATCAATGACATGCGCCAGTTGAAGTGTGTTCCCAAGAATGCACCTTCAAGTATGGAAACAAGTTTTTAATATTTCAAAAATTGGCCATATTTTAAATGACAGAATGTGACTTACCGACCAAAGTGGTCGCAAACAATCCAAATGCATACGCATATGCCATCAAATCAGTTTCGCTAGTCAATCGACTGTTTATATCGCTGGTCTTCCGAGACAAGAGGCTATTTAGCAGGAGAGGTCCAGTGAAGCTCAACATATCGGCCGAGAATCGAAGTATACCAATTGCATAGAATTCAAATCCAAATACGCGATGCAACGCTCGGAACAGACTCACTGTTAGAGTGATTCCATTTTGCAAACGTTCAGCCGTATTTTGAATGGACAATGATTCGGGTAGATCGAAGAGATCATCGATTGTTCTTAAATTACCACTAATGCCCTTCTCAATTAACGGGTTCACCCAGTGGAATATTAATTTCGATAAACATGGAGCCTCATCCTGTGCCTGTCCCAACGCTTGAAACTGAACGTCATCGTAGAATCGAACGTAATGCGTACCAAGAAGACTTTGACGTTCCTGAGAATGTGAAAAAAAAACGTGAAAGTTGAAGGTTCAAATATTTCATTCATTTTATGAGTCACTCACTTCATTATCAAGTGCACGTCTTTGTATGTATGTGGATTTGCCCTTCAAAATCAGTGACACAAGGTAGACGGCATGTAATACAACTAAAACAGCAGCATTCTGCCAGCTGTTAGCTGAAATAGCCGATCGTAGCCAAATGCCCGATAACAATGCTAGTGCAATCCATATCACTAAAATGAATAACGGCCCCCGATGACTCAGATTGCCATGATTCCGTAACACTAACAAAAAGCCTGTTGCAAAACAAAACAAAACTGATTAGGATCGTATGCGATCGTCATGACAATGAGAGTGTGTTAGTACCGATATGAATGGACCAAGTAACTATTTGAAAACCCATCAATAGAACATCCACTGGCCATATCTGTGCTCTAGTTATTATCATTTGAAACATTGTGTAAAAATGCAATAAAATTATCAAAAATGACACTAAAATTCGTATTGATATCAAAAAGTGTTGCGTTCTATTTCGACGGATTAAAACGGTTTGATTGCCAAAATAAAAAGCCGAAGTCATGGCAAATATAAACAGCATTGGTAGTTGTAAACAAATTTCTTGGAAACATGGTGAAAGAAATTTATCCTGCGTTTGCCACGGCGTCAATCCCGTCGGACACACATCGCTCCAATTCCAAGTCCAAGAGTTCGATGCCATTTTGCATGAATCACACTATTTCTTATCTCTTTGTTGATTTTTTTTCACTCACAATTTACTTTTTAAAAAAAAACTGTTGTTAAAATAATGCACTTCACCGAAAAAATATGAATTGAAACTTAAAAACAAAACTTATAATGCGTTATTCAGTCGAATTGTCATTTTTTGCACAATATTTTGGTTTGTATTCTTCTTTAGCGCGCCCCTATCTCTACAGCGATGATTGATTCATACATCATATTTACGATGTATACGTTCTTTTTCTTCTTTCGATTAGTAGCACACTATAGAATTGTTTATCATTACAACAACCTAAGGCAATGCAAACAAATGTAACAACACATAAAGAAATGACAATTCAAACTGATCGCTTTGTTTTTATTTCTCAGAGCTGTCAAACGGTGATGTGTGCATATATTCATACATATGTAAACATAACCACAACTTTCATTTCATTGTAGCCGATTCTTTGCATCATACCATTACCCTTCGATACATTGACATCTTTGTGTGCTGCTGTCAAATGAAACACACAAACCAAACAAATTTGACGCGAATAAATTAATCTAATCTAGAAATTATTGAATTTATACATGTTGAAATTGTGATTTTTTTTATTTTGCATACGATTGCCGGGATTTTTAGAATCCAAATCGTGTTTTGTGAATAGAAAAAAAGTTTAGACAAAGTTTTCAGACGAAATTAATTCGATATGTTGAAATCGTTGCGTGAACGTTCACAGAAACGCAAAAAACTTCTGGCACAAACCGTAAGCGACTTTTCGACAGAATAAGAAATTAACATTTGTCACATTGAAATTAATCGCCGATTTTTCGTTTTGCATTTTATTTGTAGCTTGGTGTTCAAAATGTAGAAGACTTAAAGCATGTGTTAGGGACCGTAGAAGACTCATCATCGAAACCATCAAATGATGACGCGAAAAAACAGAGCAATTCCAGAAAATCACAATCGGAAAACCTTTTCTACCGCGATTCATCAACATTTTTAAAGGTTAGTGCACATGATTCAATAGTTATGCGAGCATTTGATGGATTTAGAAGACAAATGGTATATAATGTCGTAATTGTATTGCACACAGGGAACACAATCATCGAATCCACACAATGACTACTGCCAGCATTTTGTCGACACGGGACAAAGACCACAAAATTTCATACGTGATGTCGGATTGGCCGACCGATTTGAAGAATATCCGAAATTACGTGAGCTGATACGTTTGAAAGATGATTTGATAAAGGAAACAGCGACACCGCCAATGTACCTGCAAACTGATTTGAAAACATTCGATTTGAAGAGCCTGGGCGTGAAATTTGACGTGATTCTTATTGAACCACCGCTTGAAGTACGGTTTTAGTTTTTCTAATTGGGGTTTTCACCGAATATTTACACGAATTTTGTGTCCATTTTGCAGGAATATTTCCGTGGTGGAAGTGCATTAGGCGTTGCTGGTGCGCAACAGCCTGTATTTTGGAACTGGGACGAGATTCAGTCGCTTGATATAAACGAAATTGCCGCACACCGTAGCTTCGTGTTTCTATGGTGTGGTAGCTCTGAAGGTCTCGACATGGGCCGCAATTGTCTGCGTAAATGGGGTTTTCGACGATGCGAAGACATTTGTTGGATCCGAACCAATATCAATAATCCAGGCCATTCGAAAATCCTGGAACCGAAAGCAGTGTTTCAGCGCACAAAAGAACACTGTTTGATGGGCATCAAAGGCACTGTTCGACGTTCGACTGACGGCGATTTCATTCATGCCAATGTTGACATCGATTTAATCATATCGGAAGAAGGCGAATTTGGCAATTTGGAAAAACCAATCGAAATATTCCACATAATCGAGCATTTTTGTTTGGGGCGTCGACGTTTGCATTTGTTTGGTCGCGATTCTAGTATCCGTCCCGGCTGGTTGACTGTTGGCCATGAACTCACCAATTCCAATTTTAACAGCGAACTGTATTCGACACTCTTTGACGAGAGCAACACGACCGGCTGCACCGACCGAATCGAGGCACTGCGACCAAAAAGCCCTCCAGCCATTACGAAGTCGATGCGTGGCCGAGGCATTCCAAGTCGCGGGTACCCACGCGGCAGAGGACGAGGACGTTTATTACAATAACAAACCACATTGTTCCAGGTAGCTCTCATCATGAGGAAATTAAGAAAGAGAATTTACTTTTATTCAAATAGTTATGACAATGTATTTTTTTCTCTTTTACATAAATTCTTATGATAATAAAATGATGATATATAACGAAAGTTTCGACCATTTCCAATTAGTTGCGGAAGCAAACATTGGGTTTCAAGGTAGTATTGAAATAATGAAAATTGAAACAACAATCTAAGACAATTAGAACAACAAGAAACTGCTATCGAGAGAGTGAATTCATCAATTTTGTACAGCTCTCAATCTCTCTGTTTGACTGTGAAATCGTATATGTGCGTCTCCACTTTGAATATATATAATGCGTTGGCGTTTACGTGCTGTCAATGATTAACATTCAATTCAAACTGAGTATCTTCAGTTTGGTATGGCAAAACAGCAAAAGTATTTTCGTTCATTTATTTATTCGTTTTGATTAAATATTGATTGGAACTTATTTATTTGCCATCTGTTTCTATAAAATCTCATCTGTATGGAGATTGTCTTCTATTAATATTGAATTGATGCAAATGAATGAATTGAATTGAAACTTTGTTCACGAGAGAGAAGCCAGAGAAATTGATCACGTGTCATTTTCCAAATACTCGCAAATCAAAATATAATTTTCTGTAGCCGTGAATCGGGCATATCTATGAGTGAGATCGAGAGTGGAGTAAGTATTTTTTGTTGAATTATTATTTTGAGAAAAAGGCGAGTATGTTTTCTGATGATTCTGTTGGCGTTCAAGTAGAGTATGTTGTAGTACCGTCTAGCCTCCGCGGTCTTCGCGGTTTTCGCGCAACTGATAAGAGATAACAACATGGTGTCTTCGGTAAAGTTGTAGTACTTGAGGTCCTCTATAACTAAGCTGGAGACAGGTAACTCCTATCTCTTATCACTTGCGCGCAAATTGCGCACATGAAAAAGCAAATTTTATATAGAACTTTTTTTTTTAAATAATTCTTCGTGCTATTCACGGAACTGATAAGAGATAACTGCCTTCAGCAATGTTATAGAAGACCTCAAGTACTACAACTTTGTCGAAGACACTTAGATGTTGTCTCTTATCAGTTCCGCGGAAACCGTGAAAATCGCGAGGACCCGCCAAAAATGAACATACTCGCCTTTTAACCATTTTTAAGTCGAAAGAAACTTACTCTTCTCTTTCATAACAAAGTCAGTGAAACATACACCACCCTCGACCTTACCTATAGATATGGATGTGCAAAACAAATTTATATTTTGAATTAAAACTAATAACAAAAGTCATTCAAAAATTACTTTAAATTCTCTAAATGAACAAATATGATGGGGCGTTGAATGAAGTTGATATTTACTGCAACAGCAAATATCCACGGTGTTGAACAAACAAGTAGCATCAGAATTTAATATTTTAATCTGTTGATTTATTGACGGGGAAATGAAGAGCTCTCATCAGCAGTTGACTGCACTCTTTTGCAAATCTTATTCCTTGACAAAAATATGTTTTGTAAACATTTCACCGAATACGTGTATTTTATACTACCCATTTGTATTTTCTATTAATAAATTGAATATTTTTATTTTCTTTCATTGAATCAAATTTGATTTGTGTTAGCTCTAAAATATTTTTATTGCATTTAAATTATTTCTTCCGGAGCAACGCAGTTTGAGTGTTCAAAAAACTGAAATGTCCGAACTGAATTTCTTGAAAACAGATTTATTCTGAGTTTAGCCCCATATGGGTGCAAATGAAAATAAATGAAAAAAATTTATCCGAATTATTTAGCATTTACATATGTTTATTTTTTATTTGTTGACTTAATAAGATAAGGCTACAGACTTTCAAAAGTGTTGCTGGTTAAGAATTACAAACGAACTTTTCAGTTGAATAAACCAGTTAGTTTGTATTAATAATCATGTTAATTTTTTTGTTTTTTGTTCATTTTTCACTAATCACAACGCAAGAGCTGTATATAGAATATGATCAAGTGTTAGAGTCTGATTTGCCCCAATTCTGTCACCATGCAGCTATTATACTTGAAGAAGAAGATAAAGTATGCAACGGCGCAATTATATCTTCTACAGAAATTGTTACTTCCTCCGATTGTTTAGAATATGTGGAGTGCTGTATGTTCGTACATGTATCAAAAAATATATCCGTGCGTGTCGGCTCAATAGACAGATTGAAAGGTGGCATAGTAAGGCGTGTAGCTGATGTTAAACGCATTTACTTTCCCCGGACGAATTCAGAAAAACTGCATTCCGTTTCCAGCTCAGATGATCCGACAGGTAGAGATATGGCTTTGCTCACACTTAGGAATCCATTACCCATTGGACCGACGATTTGTCCAATAAGCTTGGCCCAAAAAGAAGACGACATCTACATAGAGAGTGGAACCAACGTTGAAGTTACCAGTTATGATGAAAAAAGATTGCAATGGATTGCATCATCAATAATTATTATCGATTACATCTCCGGAAAATGTCCCTCTTTCTCTGTACAGGTTCCATGGCAAATCGAAAGAATTGAGGGAGGCAAGACTTTTTTCAATTGTTTTCGTGTTTTCTTCAGTTTTTGAGATTCATTTCAAAGAATAATCGACTAACCAATTTTTCTACGTAGCTCCTGTGATTCTAAGAAGAAAAAAATTTCTTTTCTTCAATGAAGAACCATTGCTATTAGGAATTGTGACAGAAGGTTCTGTAATCCCTGCTGGACCAGTAGAAGAAACTGTGAAAATTTCAGCATTTTCTAAATGTTTAATGGTAAATACACTATGTTGTTCTTGTGTTATTGAAAGCTATTCAATTGGGTTTTGTACTTGTTTTTTCTTTTAATAAGAAAAACGAGACGTGTGTTAGCCCGATACCTCGATGCTGAAGACCATACAAAGACCAAGTGGTATAATGAGTGTCCTACATGATTTACCAACAACTCCTTTATTAATTGGTAATATTTTCAACAAGGGAATTTAATTGTAAATTGTAAGCAATTTCATTATCAGTAAATAAATCAGTACTCAGTACATTTTTCATTTTACTCAGTAAATTTCAAAATACAGTTTTGTCTACTGAATTTTGCAATGTAATCAAATTCAGTCTCAATTTAATTGCAAGGTGTTTATTGTGCGCACCAACAAACCAAGGCGACAAGTGTGTCGCAAGGTAAGAAACATACAAATTTATTTTGACTGATCCGATGTAGCATTTTAGTAAAATTGTATTTCATGCTGCGTTTCAATTCATTTTTGACAACGAATATATATAATATGGTACATTTTTGTTTTTGTTTTTGTTTTTATTTTTACTGCAAATACGGCATTTTGTGTGAATGTTACACTGCTGCAGCATTGTGCATATAAAAGTATCGAGAGCCAGTTTTATACATTAAAATTTGTCAGTTGTTATAGAAACTTCGCAGTTCTCAGTTCCACACCTCGTAAAGATGGAAACCTATTTAAGCGTATACGTAATTAGTGCAGTTATTTTCACTTTTGTGGCACCAGCATCATGTATAGTCGGCGGTACTTCTGTACCACCAAGTGATATGAAACATTTTTGCTATCAGGCAGCGTTATTCTGCGAGCACTACTGGTTTAAGTAACCTTGATTGCAGTGGAGCAATCTACAACGAAACAATTGTCATAACATCACAAAATTGTACACAAAAAATTAGAAAATGTTGGAAAAAGTCGCGTGTTTTTGTTCGTGTCGGAACATGTGATTTACATCGTGTGTTTGTAGAAGAAAAGACTGTGATTGATATTAAAACACATAAAAACATAAAAATAGTTTCATTGATCTATCGTTACTTGTGTGAAATTCATCCCTTTCTATGGACACTAATCCGGATATATGTAAGATAAAACTGCCATCCCCCGACGAAACTTATGAAAATAAAACTGTTGAAATTAGTGGGTATGGAACACCAGATGGAGAAAGTGATCTAACCGATCAGTGGTTAAGGAAAATTAAACTACCAACAATCTCATTCAAAGCATGTAATGAAACTTTATTTAGAGTACGGAAATCAAAGCTCGGCTCCAGTTACTTTTGTTATGGTGGACCAAATTTGAAAATGTATACTGGACATGACGACGATGGCGGTAAAGCGTTGTGTTTTTATTTCCCATTTTATTTCTCGTTTGAAAAAAAAATTAATTTTCTTACTAAGCAACAAAGCAAACATGAACATTTTCAATTGATTTCTCGTGTCTTTTTTTGCAGCCCCAGTTGTTTTTAGAGGTGAAAATGGAACACCATTCCTGCTCGGAGTTGATGCCTGGAAACTTATCGACTACAATAATGATCCACTCGATCCAATTCAACAATCGTCGGTGAAAATCTCGGCATATGCTCACTGGATTAGGACCGGAAAATATGAAGCTGAAGTTGAAGATGGTAAGAAGAATGTATCCAAAGGATAATCGGTTAATCTAATATAAAATCTTTTCATTTCATTTTCCTTCAGATAACAACAAAATAGTCCGAAGCAACAAAAAATCTATGAAAAAATTAGTGGTATCTAAATTCGATACGCTATCTATGAGATAGAATACTCTTATCAATCCTATCCTATAAAAACAGGCTTCTTCTTAAGTTTTTTTTGCTCAATTCAGCATTCGAAAGAGTACGAACTCTAATAATCCTATTAAAGATCATTTTCACAGTGCTATCACTAAAAAAATGCCTTGCCCTTTTCAAACAAAATTACTAGATTTATCAATTTTATATAGCTCTCAATCTCTCTGTTTGACTGTGAAAAAGTCTTGAATGCATTTATCGCATATGTGCGTCTCCATTGAATTTATACACAATCGGAATGTTGACGTTTATGTGCTGTCAAAGTGATGTTGACATTCAATTCGGAGCTGAGTTTTTTTCAGTTCGGAATGGCAAAACACCAAAGGTATTTTCATTCGTTTATTTATTTGTTTTGATTGAATATTGGTTAGAACTTATTTATCTGCCATCAGTGTTTGAACGGATTTCTCTTAAATCTCCGTAAAAATGTATTCAATGTCATTACGCATAGCCCGAATTGGTTTCAATTGTAGTTTAACACAATTTGCAGGTTAGATTCAGAATAAAAAATCATCACAAAACACAAATATTTTAAATGTTGTCTTATATTTAGACCTCAAATTGATGCCAATTCGAACTTTGTTCACGAGAGAAGAGCTTGGAGTGACTCAATTTGAACGGCACAGACAGAATGCCCACGCCGATTACATAATTCCGGAACAGATTGAGGAATATAAACAGCGATTTGTAAAAGAATTTGAGAATATGCGATTGGACGAGATGAGGAACAATTTGAAACAGTATATCCTATTGATTGATGGCAAACCAGACGAATTTAACACACTGAAATCATTGTTGACCGATTACTATAAAACATACAATAATAGCGTTCATCACGTATCCGATTTTGTGTTCGGAACACCAATTATGAGATTGTTGTATTTCTTAAACTTGCCCGATGAAGCGGTTAAGGTATTTGAATGCTTCGATTTTCTATTTGCACACTTTTCACAATCATTTCATTTTCTTGATTCACAGCTATTCAACGATCCGGACATGAGATCAGTTTTTGAGCAAATGCAAACGTATAAAGTACTGTTAACTTTATTGTACGATAACAAACGATATGCCGAGGTGTTTGAGTTGTACAAACAAATACGAACGCGTTTGGATCTCTTTGAATTATTTCCGGACATAACAATAAATTGTTTGGCTTTTGCTGCGTGCTACCAATTGGTGAGTTGATAAATCAATTTAATGCTTGCAGTTTGAAGTTACCGATGTCATGTTTTCTTCCCAGAATACTCCTGAACATTTCCAATATGCAGACGAGCTATGGAAACAAGCACAAAATGTCAAGCAGTTAAGCAGATCAAGATACCTTCTCGCGGGATTAGCCATTAAACAAAACAGCCCGAAATATGCGTTGGGCCTAGTTAGAAGTCCATTTCCTTATGCAACCGTGAGGTTCCTTCGATTGGCGGCGTTCACGCAGCTTGGCTATTACGACAAAGCGATTGACATTTTACAACAGTCGGTTGCCAATTTTAAACTTAACTCTACCAGCACTAAACCATCTTTCGGGAAACAAATGGTTCGTAAGATTTCTTATTTTGGCTGAGAACTTTATTCTGAATACACTTTTCACTTCAAGGTTGAAGATTTGCGCAAAGCAATTGAAAAATCTGGGCGGAAAAAGGATTTGAGTGATTTTCAAAAAATTCACGAAGAACTCACGTCACTGAGCTTATTAAGTGATGAAGTAAGTTTATTGAAGTTGTTTTTGCACAAGGGTTGAAATAATTCTTTTTTTTACCGATTTCATATTTAATAGACACTGGATGAGCGGTTGTGTGCAACGTTTCCACCCATGCTGCCCAAAAATCTATACCAAAAGATGAAAAACAAAACATTTAAAGCTAATAATTAGTTTTCTATATTTTTTGACTCGATGATTTAGAATATTTCATTGAGGTTGTAGAATAAACAAATTGAAATGACGTTTCAGACGTTGGTGTAACTATCATACAAATTGTCCTAAGCTAATAGCAAAAAAGGAAATAAAATTGAACCAAAATAACAAAACAAACACTACGTGAATATAAATCTTCATTTGTAATCTCTATACAGCTACGCTAAAGTATACCGATCCCACATTACGTCAATAAATTTGTTTATGATATCATTGAAATGATTACGCTTATCTCAAATATACCAAGCAAACTGAACAATCAAAATAAATTTGATTACAACAAGTATTTAGTTACGATTGGCAAGCAACGGGAGAACTCACCTCCATATTTTGTCCCCTTTTTTGTTATATAATCCTAGATATTTTGATTATCTGATATTTTTTTGTAAGTGTTATTTATATTTTCAGTCCGTTTATCCGTTTAATGACAGTTATAGTGCAATTATTCAATAACAATTAAAAACTACGTAAAATTGTATATTTCAGAGTGTTAAAAATGCCCAAACAGATACTGCCCGACATCAAATTGTATAAACATTTAACTCATAAGGAGCGAATGCTTGCTGATTACCCGTACAGTCCGGCTGACAAAGAGCTATACGACGAAAGGACTAAAGTTAAGCAATATGCTGAGTTTAAAAGTGCATAAAGTATTTCTTATTTGCCTTTTTTATCAGTGACCTCGAGTTCGTTGTATTTCTTAGTTAGTTAACTACTCGAGGTCACTTATAAAAAAGGCAAATAAGAAATACTTTATGCACTTTTAAACGCAGCATGTCGTGGCAAGAAACTGGCTATGCAAGCACCATTCCGTGTTGATTATGGCTATAACTTAACGTTCGGCAACAACATTCATACCAATTTTGACTGCATATTCTTAGACTGTGCACCGATCACAGTTGCCGATAACTGTTTCAGGGGCCCCAGGTGTTCATATTTACGCAGCAACACATCCGCTCGATGCAAAATATCGTCAGGACAATGATGATTATTGTCAACTTGGTGTCCCTGTTAAAATTGGAAATAATGTGTGGATTGGTGATAATGTTGTGGTCGGTGCAGGAGCCTTGTCACAAAAGATTTTCCAGCAAATGTACTTGTAGGCGGCAATTCAGCCAAAATTATCCGAAATTTGGATTATGATTAACAGAGTTTTCTCAGTACATATTTAAAATAATAAAAAATAAAAAGTTACAATTGAGACTGTGAGAATGAAAATGGCAATACAGGAATGAACATTCTGAAACGAAACATAAAACAGCAAACACGCAAAAGTGAATCATGAATGTTTGAGCTGCAGCAGTGAACCACGAGTATCGGTACGTGTGCGTAAATTCATGATTCGCTTCAACACAGCGCTCATTCAAGATTCACTTTTGAGAATTTTCTTTCTTAGCGGCTTAATATTCATAACGCACTGGCACCGACTCAGTGATGTCAACAATACAAATCAATTGTTCTAATTTGGTATTGGTAGTCTCCACTGACACGGTACCAGCGTGCTATGAATATTTGCTGATGTGCGAACAGCACAGATACTCCCACTCTCTCTGATGCGTTGTGATTTTGCGATGTTTGTTTGTTGTCGCATTTCTTCTGTGTTATTTTCCATGCGCTACGGTTTCAGTGATGTTGTCATTTCATTCATGTGTGTACATTCATTCTAATGCTGTTCGTTCATGTCAATGCCGTATAATAAGCGGAGCTCGTTTAAGTGCTGAGACTTATGCACCCCTGTTATTCTTCGTCCAGAGAACTTAATATTTTTAACCATTTATGCAAGCATACTCTATTTTTTCAAAAACCAATTCGTTCAATTGAAGTATCGGGCGCCGCCAAATGTACAAAAATGATTAGTTCACCAATTTGGACAAACATACTCGCCTTTACCAACAACCAAAGTCAGAAAAACATACTCCTGTTTATTGGTATTCCAAACTAACAAAATACATACTCTTGTTTAACGAAATCAAGTTCTATGATTTGAAATAATATATTTTGTCTGGATTGAATTAAAACTACGGTGAGTTTGGAAATGAATAACATTTAAAACTGACTCATGGAACGAAAACATACAAATGCGCAACGTAACAAAAGTATTTACTGAAGTGCCGATAAGAAAGAAAATTCTCAAAAGTGAATCTTGAATGAGCGCTGTGTTGAAGCAAATCATGAATTTACGCACACGTACCGATACTCATGGTTCACTGCTCCTGCTCGACTATTCATAATTCACTTTTGCGTGTTTGCTGTTTTATGTTTCGTTTCAGAATGTTTATTCCTGTATTGCCATTTTCATTCTCACAGCTTCAATTTTATAAAACTATCTCGTTTGTTAGGAAGCATCAGAACGTTACAAGATTGGAAATGAAGTGATAAGAAGTAAATTTTTAATAAAGTGTTAAGATGAAAGACAGTAAAAGTGGAGCCCAAACGTAAATAGCACCGCTGCTATTGCAGCCATCCCAGTTACATAAATGACAAGTGGCGCTCCTAAAAAAATTGTCAAAAGATATATTAAATGTATCTGTATTAAAGCTGTTGATTAAAATTAATTTACATATAAGTTTTTTCTGGATCTCCATTCATATTTCTGTACAAATTAATGCACGACTCATTTTCTGGTAGTTTTAACTGACATTTTCTTACTATATACTTTTCTGAATAAAAAAATAGAAGACAACGGTTGAAAATACGAAAAATGAAGAATTTAAATTCATAACGAATAAAAATGTTCTACCTCGAAAATCATACGCCTCAATTTTTTGACACAAGAACTCCGGTTCTATCCTGTGACTGAACGGAAAGTAGCTAAAGTTCGATAGCTTATGGGGGCCTATGTTATAACGATCCAGGTCATCAACTGTACACTCCTTAATTTAAAAAAAGACAATGAAATTAAATGTAATTATTTCGATGGTTTCAGTAAGTGAATGTCGTCTCAAACGGACCAGCGGGTCAAACGGGCCACTACCGAAATTTTTGAAAGTTGACATGTAAACGTTAAACCGATCAGCGCCATGTTAATGATTCGTCGGCAGCTAAGTTTTAGTGGTATTTCGAAGAGTAAAGACGTACTCTGTGTATGATAAAAAAAAATTCGTGTCGAAATTTTCTGAATAAAAGTTTTTAGTGCATTTTTCCGACAACCATTGTGTGATATATTTTTTGGTAATTTTTGAAGGTAAATATGTTCTATGTGTTGTAAAAAGTGCATATTTTCAGTGTATAAAGTCGATTTTGATGTTATTTCATCATAGAAATTTTTTGTGTCGTCATGCAATAATGGCGTGTTCTGGCTCAAACGGGCTACTTTTGTCGTCTCAAATGGGCCACCCAACATTTTCTTTGTATGCAACTGAGACACTATTTTTATGATGAAATATCATGTTAAAAGCAATAACATGGCATTTTAAAGTGAATATATCGCTTCTTTTCATATATTCAGGTAGAAAATTGTTGTGCCAAAAAGTCACTTGTGAAAACTGCCTTCCAGATGATGGTGACGGTGCCGAAGATTTCGACGAATAATCATCCTCAATTTTCATGTCGAAAGCACATAAATGAATATAAATTTAATAATCATTCGAAATGTGATGTTGTTATTTCATTATTTCTGTTATTTATGGGGTGGCCCGTTTGACCCGGCAATTTTTTTGCCATTTTCAAGGTGTTTAGAAAATTTGCAATACATTTTTTCTGGCAATGCAAACGGAGAACTCTCACTAGCAAAAAGTTTTCTTGTGAGGTCCTCTTTCCAACGATATAAATATGTAATGAACATTATTCACTTTTAAAAATGTTATAGCGGTCAATCAAAGTGTGGCTTTTTCTATAAAATAAAATAGACAAACCTTGGGTTCAGATTCTTTCGTCCAAGCTTTGCAAGATTCGGGATCACAAACATGGCACTTCAGAGGTGTATCCGTTCTGGCTACAAATGCAAACTGTTATTAATCCCATCATTAGTTGATTTGCGTACTTTTTACCGTTCCTAGCGTTACAGAAGCTCGTTAGCGCCAGCAACACTGCACAAAGACCAAATATTGAAATTGCACTCAATTCAATTCTTTTCATTTTTTCACTGTGAAAACTTTTTTTCACACGTTTTCCAAGAAATATCAACGAACACTTCCTTCAACCGCGACAACAATTATTATTCTGAGAAGTAAATCAATAGATAATCTCGAAATCGATTCCCAGGAGTTGAATTATGATAATTAACTGAAAATAACAGAAACAACTCCTTGAATCGTATCTCGTTTTGAAAACGCTATGTCTCTAACTTTAGTCAATGGTCACAAATACACTATTGTGAACATAATCAATCTAAAAATGAAAAATAAACTACGCAACTACGACTAGGAAAAAGAGACATTGAAATTCTAAATTTAGAATTCAGCCAATCCAAAATTAGAATCAAGTGTATGTAGAAAAAGAAGAAGAGATTGCGATTGATAAAAATTCGGTCACGATTTTCGTTTCGTTTCTTCGCTGTAGCGGTTCAAGGTTGTCTAAAAATTTGCTTGGAACATTTATCGATTATCTGTCCAAAAAGGCACTGCGACCAAAACTGGAAAAAAATCTTCTGCAATATTGCGCCATAGATTGTATGTTGATAGTGATGTATTAACTGAAAATTGACATTGTACTAAGATCGTCCTATATGCCCGTTGATAAATAAGTTGAATTGTTAATTCATAGAAGAGATAATCAATAAGTCAAGCACATCTGGGTATAAATGATGCGTGTTTATACTCCAAAATGATGGATTGGGATATTCAGCCATATCTCGTAGGCAGATCATTTAATTGGGTCACACGAGTCAGTTGAAACCAATATATAGTCACGTTTAGAACGAGATTAAAACCTTTATTAAACTATTTCTGTTTATATTGAATGTTTCGTCTGTTATACATGTGTTTGGCACTCGATTACATACAGTTTAGTGTTGTTGATAAGGTAAAGAATAAAAATTACATTTGAAGCGGTTTTATATAAATATATTGACGATTTTTAAAGTTTAGCAAAAACTATGTGTTTTTTCCATATTTCTCGTTCATCGACGCAAACTAAAAAATAAAAATAATTAAAATGTAATTGAAATGGTGGTTTCACTTGATTAGAAGACATAAAACGATCGAAGACAGTAAAAGCGGAGCCCAAATGTAAATAAGACCGCTGCTGTTGCAGCCATTGAAGTTATCACACAAATGACAAGTGGCATTCCTATGTGTAGAAAAAGAACCAAGAAATTGATTAACAATATTTATACCAAAACTATTGATTGAAAGTTATTTACGTATAAGTTTTTTCTGGGTCTGCATTCAGATTCTTGTAGAAGTTAACGCACGATTCATTTCCTGGTAGTTTTAACTGACATTTTCGCACTATATACATTCCTGTATTGAAATATATGAAGACAATAGTTGAAAATACGAAAAGGTGTACAGTGGAACCTCGGAAATTAGAAGGTGTTTGTACTTCGGGTGCTTCTAATTTCTGAATTCTTCCAATTTCGGAGGCAATTTCTTTTGCATTAATTTTGCAGTTAAATGAACAAAATGACACTACAGTAACACCAGAACGAAATTCCCAAATAAAAATATAACTTTGAAACCTACTTTTAACAAGATTCCAATATTTTTGATACTCTGCCTTAATAATTCTTTTCAATAATATTCCAATTAAATTAGAAGAATTATCAGACAAAACGATTCATTTATTTCGAGATGAAAGATTATAAAAACTATGGAGATATATTTTTTTCCATAAAAAACGAATGTAAAGTAAATTTGGAGCAATCCGAATCCAAAAAAACAAAATTTGTTCATTTTTGGACGAAAATCGAACATATTTCCAGAAGATTTTGAGTTCAATTTGCTTCAAATCAGCCATGATTGTATATTTTAACGATGAAATGTTCCTAAAAATTTTCACTTTCAAATAGAATTCACATTAATATGTTTTTTTTTCGAGATTTTGAAGCTGAGGCTCATAATCTTCGAAAAAAAACACAAATAGTGATTCAATTCCTTAGTTTCGTCAAGCAATTCCAATCGATAATTTGTTCCATTTAAAATATTTTTCGTTAGATACAATAGCTGCATTGCATTAAATACGCATTTAAAAAAGTACCTCTGAAATTAGAAGACAATCTTCTAATTTCAGAAGCAGCAATGGAGCGGAGAATTCTCTTCTAATTTCGGAGGAATTCTAATTTCTGGATCTTCTAATTTCCGAGGTTCCACTGTATTCAAATTCATCAAAAAAAAAATCTACCTCGAATATCGTACGCCTCAATCTTTTGACACAAAAACTCCGGTACTTTCTTATGCAATTGACTGAAAGGAATGTAGCTAAAGTTGGATAGCTTACTGGGGCCTATGTTATCACGATTCAGGTCATTTATCGTACACTCCTTAATTTGAAAAATGTATGAAAATAAAATTACGTGTAATTATATACTTCGATTGTTTCAACAGAGAGTAGCTGCTGTTGTGCTTTGGGCTTTTTTTCATAAATCAAAATGAACAAACCTTCGGTTCGGATTTTTTGTTCCAATCTTTGCAAGATTCGGGATCACAAACATGGCACTTCAGAGGTGGATCCGTTCTGGCTATAAAAGAAAACTGTTATTAATCCCATCAATCAGTCGATTTACACACTTTTTACCACTTCCAGCTTCACAGAAACTTGTTAGCGCCAATATTACTGCACAAATACCAATGACTGAAGTTGCACTCAAATCTAATCTCTTCATGTTTTCACTCTAACAACTATTTTTCACACGTTTTCCAAGAAATAACAGCAAACACTTCTTTCAATCGCGACCACAAAAGTTGTACTGAGAAGTAAATCAATAGATAGTCCCGAAGTCGAGTCTCCGAAGTGAAATTAGAATAATAGTAAAATTTTAATTGTAATGATCGAAGTGCTACACCCAGCTAAAGCGAAGAAAAATCGAGTTTTCCTTGATTTCTCGTTGCTATGGACAGACAGTCTGGCGAAAATAACTGAAAAATAGCAGAAACGACCCCTCGAATCGTATACGTCGGTTTGAATACGCTATGTCTCCACTCGCATTCAATGTTGTGTATTTGTTTGTATGCGTCGTTTGTGTGTGAATTTGTGCGCTAATACGTTACCCTTACGCTGTTATAATTCGATATTGCGTCGCCATACATTCTCGTTTCGATGAGACAGCTCGTCTGATCGGCGCCATCCATGAGCTGTGCGTTTTTATGAGTAGCGAATATACCATAGCACAATACTGGAGACCTCTCTCATTCTGTTTTCAGTGCGATGTTACAAGGGAAAATACCATCTTTATTTATTATGGTATCGTTAACCATCGACATTTCCACTGTCGCTGCTCTTTATAGTTCAGCTTCTCCATTACATACATTATTATGTGAAGGATATCACGCACAGTTTTCTATTGATTTGCAATGTCAATGCCTCAAAATGTATTATTCCCAAGTTTTGGTTTGTAAATTCGGTTTTCTTTTTCGGTATTTTTTCATTTTGCTAATTCATAGAACATAATTTTCATAAAAATCAACTACAAAAACTTGGCACAAGATTTCGATATATTTTATGAATGCATAGCACTCCGACCCCATTTATATGTCATTGACTTTTACTTTTACATTTACTTTTACTTTTGAACATCTTTTTACTGGTTTACCAAGTTTAATTTTTTCCAGATATTGGGAGTTTAGTTTGATAATTAAAGTAGATTATTTTGATTGATTGCTTTGAATGAGCATATACATTTATTTTAATTTATCCAAACAAACGTTGAAATTAGTTACATTTTTTCGCTACCATTTCAATTAGGCAATTCTCAATTGAATGGAGTCGTTGCGTTTTTGACTTGTTTTTTTTCTCAATCATTTCGTCAAATGAATATCTATTAGTGAGACGTAAAAGAACGCAAGTTTGTCCAACTTCGTAGCAAAAGAGAGAAGTATGTTTCATTGCAACTAATAATGGTTAAAAGAATGTATGTTCGTTTTTGGGGGGTCCTCGCGGATTTGCTCGGTTTTCGCGGAACTGATAAGAGATAACAACATGGTGACAAAGTTGTATATTCGAGGTCTTCTACAAAATTGCTGAAGACAATTATCTATTATCTCTTATCAATTTCGCAAAAAGCGCGAAAAATGATAAGAAAAAAGATTCATATAAATTTTGCTTTTTAATTGCGCGAATTGCGCGCAACTGGTAAGAGATAAGAGATAACTGTCTTCAGCGATGTTATAGAGGACCTACAACACTTTAACTTTACCAAAGACACTATGTTGTTATCGTTTATCAGTTCCACGGAAACTGTGAAAAACCGCGGAGGCTAGACTGTATGCCAACATAATTTCATTTAACGCAGATAGAATCAACAGAAAACATACTTTCCTTTTCAAAAATATAAATCGAGAAGAAAACACACATTCTTTCTACGTCTCACGAATAGATATGTACATGTATAGATATTCCCATTAAGATTAATGATTTTTTTTCAACAGAAAGGAAAGAAATATTTGAAAAAATCAATGGAATATTTGACAAAAAATGAGATAAATTCATAAATGAGATTTTGATAGCACAAAATATTCAAAGTTGTAAGTATCAATCGAACTAATTCATTTGTGCCTTTTTAATTATTTGCTTGAATTAAGACGTAAGTTTCCTGTTTAAATGATACGATAAATGCTGTTATCCACTGAATAAATTGAATCGCTTTTTAATACATTGGCAAATACTTTCCAAATAATGATCATTACAAATACTGTAACTATATCTCAACGTTTTTACCTGTTGAACAGTCCCCACAATGATAAAGTGAATTTCGCATATTCTAGCGGTGTCACCACCGGCCCTTTCAATTTTACACCTTGTACAGCGGTTTTCATTAAGCAAGTACAATTTTAAACATTTTTCTCTACGTTCGAATTACACAGTGGAACAAAGTGAAGGTGACCAAATGTGATTTTGGTTTTGGCTATGCCAAATGATAATTTAGGTCAAAATAAGAGACCATTTGGCTCATTTTGTCCGAAATGGTTCATTCACGAAAAGAAATTTTTTTTTCGAAATTTTTACCCTGGGCCGGATTTTTGGAATATTCACTACCTTAGTTTTTGATGAATAACTCATTCCGTATTCGGGATATCGTCTCGCAGTCTTCAGCAAAATTGTAGCCAAGAGTCCAAGTAACAAAATTTATGAACATTCTATACCTCAAAAATTGCATGTGACAAGGCTTATGGGGCAAAATGTCGAAAAAAGGGCGATTTTTTCCATTTTTTCGACCATAACTCGTAAAAAATATCCATTTTTGGTTTTTTTTCTTCGGCATTATTGTAGCCAGCATCGAACTAAACAACTCTCCTCAACATATTAACCCAAAAAAATCAAATTTTGCCCACTTTTTTGGCTCAAAGTCACTTGTCGCTACCAAACGATATCATCGAACATTTTCGGAGTTCTATAACTTCTCAACTACTCGAAATAGAGCAATAGTTTCTGAAGCAAATTTTTAGTACTTCTCATGGGCTTTGCAGACCCAGTACTAAAATTACTAAAAGAGTACTAAAATGTACTAAAAACTACTAAATCCTCTCAA